TAGTCTCGAAAACATTCTGTACCTAGCAAAATTATGTTAAGTCACAGCAGAGGGATGATAAACCAGCTTATGGCCCATCCTCAATCAACATATGCCTGTGAACTCAATTGAAATCAAATATGAAAATTAAACCGGAAGAAAATGCACATATCAACAGGCATACATTCCAAGAACAGTAATGTAAAGTGTTTGTTACAATAGGCTCAACAGCCAAATAAAAGCACGAATTGATAAAATGGTGGGGCTCACTCCTCCTCCTCCCCCTCGCCCTCCCCATCCCCCTCCTCCTCCTCCTATTTTGTGAATCAGTCGCACCTTATATGAAAAATTTTGTAAATCAAGAACACATAAATCTTTTCGAACTAGATTCCCACAGATGGCACCAGTGTTGATGTTAATCCAATACGAAATAGAAAATAAATGTATATAAATTATACAAACACTCTGCTTTAACGTGGAAATCCGAAAGGGTGAAAACCACATAAATTTTCAAGCTAATGTCCAAGTCACTCTTTTTTATTAATCTCTCCTCACCATTGACATTGTACAAGTATCAAGCTTTAGAAGTCAAACGCTTTAGATAAAATCAAATACTATTGAACCGAATTTAAAGCGGTGATCTGTATCACTTAAATATCACTCCTTTCATATTACTTTAACTACCTCATACTTCTTGAAAAATGCGTGGTGTACACCTTTTGTGTACACCAAGCAAAGTTGATACTTCTTTCTGGCTATATCACATTAATTGCCACCCTTCCATTTTTGGAAATATGTCTACCCTAAAAGTAATTACTATACATTTTAATAAATTACACACTACAAGTGAATGGTACTCTCTTTTCCTATTCTACTCTTACAATAACTCAATAAGAAAAACATTGTATTTATAATAAAAATAGTTTCACTTTTTTATTTGTTGAATAAATTAATAAAGAAAAATAAAAGTATTAAATACTCCCTCCGTCCCTTAAAGGTTTGCCAAATTTGACTGGCACGTAGAATAATAAAGTAAAAAATGTGTGGTAGATATTTGTGCAGAGCAGATAGAAATAATATGAACCAAAAATGGATCGATTAAAATGGAAAGTGACAAAGTTTTTGGGACAACCAAAAAAGGAAAGTTGACAAAGTTATAAGAGACGGAAGGAGTACATGGAAGGCTCTCCCATGGTCGATGTCATCTCTGTCTCTCTGGTGACCGAAAAATGACATCTTGTTTTAGAAAAGTAACTTTATCTCTGAAGATGTCATAAAGTTGACAATATTATAATTTGGAAATGCCAAAACATGCTCTGAAATTGACATCAAGATATAATACTGATGTAAGTTGCCATTTTTGTAGTGGCCGAAATTGACAGTGTAAAGTGAGTGAGGCTAGGATGGACTGGGATGGGCCGACCCGGCCTGCTACCCGACCCGGCCCGCCACCGTGCAGGCCTGACCGGGTTGACCGGGGCCAAGTCTGGGGCCCGACACGGATGAAGAAGTAGGCGGTACCAAGATCTTATTTTGGTGGACCGGCCGGTCTCGGTCCGGACCCAACGGTCACAATTTTTTTTCCCATTAGGCTGGCTGCTGGGGGTCGGGCGTTTTGGAGGGGATTGGGGATGGGGGAGGGATGGTCGGAATTAATTCAAGAAAAATTAACAAGAAATAAAACAAGCCCGGCCCGACCTGACCGAGGCCCGATCTGGTAGCTCCGGTGTACACAAATAATGTACTAGGTATAAAAAATGTAGTCGTATAGAAGAAGTGTAGCATGACTCTTTAGTTTATTCGTGCAGAGTACGCAACTAGGAAAACATTAAAGAAAACTGTCGACAGGTAGAGAAGCTATGTTAGGGTTGTGAAATAGCGCGAACACATTATCTTTTCAGATACCTTTGAAATTCTAGGGCTTTCCCCCCATCTTTTCTCCTTAAATTCTCGATTAGCTTCCGCAATTTCCCCCCATTTCTCACTAGACTCGATTGTCTCTTTTTCTCTCCATCTATAAACGGACGCGCAAAGCATGTGTGTGACCGGAATCATCCCTCGTTTATAAATTAGAGAAACTGTTCTTCCCCTTCTGGTTGTAAGGTATGGTGCGAGCAGTGAAGCGCGAAGCGGAATGTTCTCAGAGTCGAAAGCACGGAGCATCAGAGAGCAATGGTGGTGATTGTAGCCACAATAGTTCCGGGAAGGCCGACCCACTCGACCGCAGAGTTCTTCGTTCGCGATATCTCAATGTTAAGACTCGGATTTGTGGTAATTTCCGACTTACCTTCTGATCGTGCCTTGCAATTTGCACATGTGTCATAACAGGAAGTTGCTTTGTTTTCTGCGTTAATTATATGAGAATTGCATAAGGCTTGGATGATTCTTTGAGATTTTATCCATCGAAATCAAGTTGAGAACATGTTATCTAAGTAATTACAAGAAAATTATTTCCTTTTACTTGTTCTTCTATTTGTTTATAGGCTTTACTACTCTTTTAGTCGGTTTAAGTTACTTGTTTAGATTGACAGCCATATTTGATCAGGAAGCTTAGTATGTGCAAGTTGGAGTGAGGTCTCTTGTTTATGAAACTATCCAAAAATATTGTTTTTGTACAATGCAGATGGAAAAGATGATTTATCCAGGTTTGATTCAGATAAGTTTAGTTCAATATTCGAAGAAGTAGAAAGGTTGCACGAGAAAGGTATTCTTCTTCTACTTTTACTTGATGCTAAATTCATTGCTGCTATTCTCTTTTCCTGCAAGCCACTGATACTCCTATACTTTTGCAATTGCACCACAGCTTGTATTATACGCTTCAACAAAGTTTACAAGACAAACTGATACAGTTATATTGTGTTAATGCGTATAATAATTGGTTCATTTGCAGTACAAAACCCTAGAGAACAAGTTGCAGATGCTGAAACATTACTGGACATCACAAACAGTTTAGTGACCTCTGTGAAGTCACATGGAAATGAAGGAGTTACCCCTACAGATTTTATTACGTGTTTGCTTAGGCAGTTTGGGGATCAAGCAGGGCCCAGTTCTGGCACAGACTATAGTCGAAATTCTATTCGCTGGAAGGAAGTTAGCCATGCTGTCCCTGATTTTTTTAAGAGTGCTCCTGGATGCTGCACAATGTTAGTATTCATAGGTTCCCATTTTTGTTCTTCATTTTTTTTGTTTCAAACCCTTCAAACTAATTTTACATCTTCTTGTTTTCAGGATTGGGCCTATAAGTACTGAAATTAAGCAACGCAAGGTTGCAGTACAAAGAAAACGTGTAAAGCCTACTGGTAATGAACGACCAGAGGAGGTAAAGACTTTTCTGATTATGTGACTGATCTCTTTTTAATCCTAGAGATTTGTTCCGACGCCTTCATCCTTTTACTTTTTCTGTAGCTTGCAGATAGCTCAGCAGACAAAAACACGGACACAGATAAAAATATGGAAACAATGTTCCAAATCTTAAGGAAGCACAAGAGGGTCAAGCTTGAAGTATTGCTGTTGAATAGAAGATCATTTGCACAAACAGTAGAAAATCTATTTGCTTTATCTTTTCTGGTCAAAGATGGAAGGGCTGCAATAACCGTTGATGAGAAGGGCGTCCACTCTGTTTGTATGTTCCCCCAGATCTACATCTTAACTTGTTTTACTCTGTTTCTCTTCTGACTGAATAACACAGTATTTTTTTTTTCTTTTCAGCACCTAGGAATGCTCCTGCTGCAAATGCAATTCTTTCTGGAGAAGTTTCACATAGTCATTTTGTTTTCAGATTTGACTTTAATGATTGGAAGGTACTTCTTTTCTCATACACATCCATCTCAAAATAGTTGACTTTAGACCTTAATTTTTAGCCCTATCTGGCTTAGCTTATTTTGATTACCTGCAGAAAAGTCACAATACATAAAATTTGACTTGGCTATCTGGTTGAAATGGGTTTTACCAAATGCCTTTTCCTTGAGCAAATTTGTCTTTTTCAACCAAATTACAATTATTAATTGGTCACATAAAATTAAGTTTTACTACAGATTTTATGTCTTCCAAGGTTAAGTAGCAATAGGACCAGGGAGAATTAGCCCAGAAGATGAGTAAACAAATGTGTTGAATTCTTAAATGGTCAACTACATTGAGATAAAAAGGCTAAAATGACAAATAATTTTGAACTTCAGGCAATCATATTTTCATTGGTGTTTGTCTCTGAAGCTGGTATGATTTTTTACTAACGCATTGCCCCTTCTTTGAATACCAGCTAATGCTGGCTTCTGTTGGGGATGGGCAGGAGTTAATGCCTCACCGAAATGAAGAAGTCCAGACTAAGTATCCAGAAGCAGCACGAGCAAATGCTGAAGAAGAATCAGAAAGAGGAACAACAACACCGATAAGGAAGTTGTCTAGAAACAGAGGTCTGGTTTTGCAGGAGCAACAGTTAGTGGTGGATGATTCTCCCGAGGCTAGTGCAGAATCAGGAACAGCAAGAGCTGCTATCAGAAAAGGAAAACGCAAGTTATAGAACTTGGGTTAACAGGTCGAGGTGGGGGTCTAATTCAAGGAAGCTTGAATTTGATTTTGGGGGCTTCATTCAAGGCTTGAACTTTATGTGTTGCTATGTCTTGTTAACATAACTTTTAGTACGTAACACTGTTTAGTACAAGCATTCTAGATTGCTAGTTTGCTAGAAGGAAGCCAGATGTACATAGCTTGTTTAATTCTTTCAGCATTTTTCTGCTTTTCGTTTTCTAAAATCTCTGTGTCATTCATTAACTAAGGGGTTTCCCCAATCTTGGTGACTTGGTGTACTAGCATGTTGATGATCCTGTGATCCTAAATAATTTCTTGGACTTTTTTTTATTTGGATATAGAGAGTATATATTAATGGAAATATGGAATTGCATATAAAAAATAAAACCTTACCCCAACCTATCATAAAATATATGTAGGTGGATTCACCATACAACTTTTCTATAACATGGCTTCCAAAATGAGCCCCTGACTGTCTCCATATTGAAAGAGTACATGTCCAGAGCAAACTTTATCGGTAAACCAAAATTTTATTTTTCTGTAAGAAGGAAGTTGAACACTCGCTGACCATGAAAATTACACCTACTTCTAGGCTGCTAGGTTATGCCAGAAGAGTTAGAGGGGATGCCATTGTCTCATATTCCAAGAACCCCATATCTCAGTCAATGTCAATCTGAAACTTTTATCATGTCATCTCTTGATTCTCTTGATTTTCAAGAACAACCCCAGGGGTGGAGAGCTGTCTCCATATTCATGCATGTAGTGTAATGTCTGCTCTTACATAGCATATCATACTAGTCTGTAATTTATTACAGAGCACTTGTTATTTATTAGAAATGCAGTCACGCACAGTAACAATAAGTTCAACTCTAAGTGCCTCGGTGCCATAGCCTCTGGTGCCAGAGGCATTTGTATTATTATGAGGGGTGGTGCTCCGGCCTCGTGGTCCCTGCCATGGCGGTTCCAATTGGGTGAGACTCCACCACCCCTTCGACCACCTCTCCCACCGGAGCTCCAGTGCTGTGCCCTGGCATGGCTGACATCTGATGAGCGCCAGTCGGATGCCCTGCTGCCCCGGTAGCAGAATATGAGTAGGATTTCCCGGCTCCGCCGGTAGCCGCCTCGGCTTTGTGTGCCATTAATTTCTCTCGCTTCTCCAGCTCGACCTGGTTGATCCGTTCTTCTTTCTTTTGCGTTGCCATCTCTTTTTCGAGTGGATCATGCGCTGTCATCCTTTCCACCTTCAAACAACATGAAGGCACATTAATAACTCATTAATTAGCATGATGTATCATAGCATACATACATATGTGCAGCATACAATGCATGCATGCATATGTAATATCAAATCATCGATCACAATCGTTATGAACACCTAAAAATGGTAAGTGTACTCCAAACAGACTCCATATCTAAAAGTGTGAATATATAAAGTGATTTTTTGAAGTAAATTTAGAAAATATTCTTAATAGTAAAAGTTAATCGTGTTCGAGAAAAAAAAATGCTTTAGAAAAAGTAAAAGTGAGTAGTGTTCGATAAAATAAGTGAATTAAATAACCTCTCGACCTGCTTAGTTTAAGTAGGAAGCTGTCATTTGAAAGCACTCATTTCAGCCTATTTAAACCAGAAGTTGAAAATCACTATTTTTAATCTCTTGCAAACACTCCCTAATCAAGTCTTCGCAGTAAAGAATAAAAAGCGATGTATGTTCTCTTGAAACGCTGGCTTCTTCTACAAAATTAGAAGAAAAACACTATCTTTTAGTAAGAGTGTTTAACATCAATTAAATGATTGATGTGATGTGATTATGAATGGTTCATTTTGAATTTATTGACATTCAAAATACTCCGAATTAAAAAATGAACCAGAAGACCTTTCAGAAAGAAAATATTTCTGCTAAATTAGGCACACAAGTGGACCTCATGATGGAGTTGCTTTGATCCTAAAAGTCCAAGATACATAATGTGTTTTTTGTGAGGACCATTTAGACACAGCTAAAGAGCTCTAATGCTTCTTAGTTCTCTAATCTTTTGAGATCTTCTGAAAAGATAGAAGGGAAAAGAAGAAGATGAAGAATAAAGAAGAATCATTTCATTTTCATTTTCATTTACCCCAGTGCCGCAAAGGCTCCCACCTACGGTGGGGTAAGGGGGTGGGGTAAGGGGGTCGGATGTACGCAGTCTTACCCCTATACTAAAGCACAGAGACACTGTTTCCGGATGACCCATAGTGAAAATCGCGTCCAAAATTGCATGGACTGACTGTTGCTTCATTACAAAGAAGCGCAGACAGTTTACTGAGCCATTTTGCTTTATTCCATCATAATCTCAAGCCAAAAAATAATGAATCTTTGGCTCCATTGCAAATGATGGAAATATGAAGAATAAAGAAGAATGAAAGAAGAAAAAAAGAAGAAAGAGAGGAAGGGGGAGTGCATATGTATCAAGAGGGGAAGAGGGAGAGAGAAAAGAGTGGGGTGGGAGGGAGGGAAAATGGGGGAGGGTTATATAGGGAGTCTTGACCGCATACAAACTTTCTACCAATATAATGAGGACATGCATTTCAGAAAATTATTTTCTATTTCTAGTTTAATTTTTTTCATTTTTCAATATGTAACCCACATGCATTTCAGAAAGGTACAGTACATAATGTGAATAATCGAGTAGAACTTCTAATGTATACAACCTTAAAATATGTTGAGAAACTATGGGAGTGTTTGCTTAAAAAGTTGAAATGCGTGTTTTCAAATGATAGTTTAAGCAGATACAAGCTAAAAGTTAGAAACAGGTGGATGAGTGCTTTAAAAGACTACCAACTTTTACTATCAATACTTTCTCCAAAATCATTTTTTGAAGTAGAAATAATAGCAAACACTCCATATATATAGGAAATACAAAGCTAGCGGCTACCGTGGCACCAAAGATGATGTCACTCCGACACTAGATCTTGTTCGCTCGTAAATTTGATGGTATATTTGCAGTTTAAGATGTTTAATCGATGATTAAGCAAATTGGTTAAGAGTTAGAAATCAATAGTTATTTATGTTGACCAAGTATGCGAAACACATTGGTCAACATAAATAACTGTTGATTTCTAACTCTTAACCAATTTGCTTAATCATCGATTAAACATCTTAAACTGCAAATATACCATCAAATTTGACCGATAGTATTGATTATTAATTAATAAAGAAATCAGATTTTTTCATCAACCCATTGTTTTTTAGTTTCTATGAAACATTAAAGTCCTATTATTGCAGTTTACTTGTAGTTATAAAAATGGAAGAAACGTTCAAGAAATTCTATAAAAATGAAAGAGCAAATTGGATGGGATGGTTCATAATGAAAGAAGGGGTAGGGACCTTTTCTTGAAGGACGGCTTTGGTTTTCTCCATCCCAGATACTGCCGAGGCGCCGATGTTGCCGGCTGTCTCTTTCACGCCCTTCATTTTCATTCAAAACCTTGCTGCTGCGTACGTAAGCGGTTTCTCTGATCAATTCGATCTAATTTACAAAAGTACAATTCAATACAGCTAATTATTTTGCATGTATATATGTACCAAGTAGTAATTAATTAATACTACAACTACGTAATATAATATAGGCAGTCTTTCTTGTATGCACGTGTTGTAGGTAAAGAAACGTGTCATTTGAATGTAACAGGTGAGTCATGCTTTAATTCATGATTCATCGCGTCGCAACATCTATCTGATTTATGTACCATACCGTTAGTTCAGTTGGGTGAGTGGTGGAAAATTTGAGTTAAGGGATCAATGTTCGGATCCCTTTGCATAGGGTTAATTATCAAAATAGGACTAAAAGTCACTCACTTTGCACAAATAGGACCAAAAAATAAACTATGTTTTCATAGGACTAATTATGTGTGTCTTGAACAAATATAACCTTATAACTATGGAAATGTTTTAATTCATAATAAGATACTAAAAAATAATAAAAAATACTAAAAAATTAATAAAAATATTTCGATAATAATAATTTATTTATTTATTTATTTTAAAAAAATACAAAAAAAGTAAAAAAATAAAAAACTCAAAAAAATAAAATAAAATTCACCGTCGCCTCTGCCGCCTCTGCACCACCACCTCCAGTCACCAGGGGGGAAAAATGCCAAGTTCATTACGAATGCCATATTTATGGCAGAAAATAATGAAAATGTTAGCATTCTGAAAGAGAAATATGTCATGTTTTTGGTATTTAAAAAAAGGCAGTTTTTAGGAAAAATGACATTTTTTTCACCGCCCGGAGATGGTGGTGCAAGGAGGTAGTACAGGTGGTGGGAAAGACATCCATATTTTTTTTATGGAGTTTTACTATTTTTATTAATTAAAAAAAAATAAAAAAATTTTAAAAAATTCTTGTTATAAATTTTTTGTTCTATAAATATTTTATAATTTTTTTAATTATATTTCTACGAATTTTTGAATTTTTTTCGAATGTATTATGAATTAAACATTTAATTAACTCATATTTAAAGGAAGGGTAAGAATGGAATGAAAAAATAGATATGTTTCCAATAGGACTAATATGGTTCTATTTTGAAAAGAAAAACATAGTAAGTCCTGTTTTGAGTTTTTGCCATAGTTTTAGTCCTATTTAGAGTAATTTCTTCTAAATGTGAATATTGTTAGGATTAACCAAAACGTGAGAAAGGTGTCGTGCACCTATAAACATGGTCGTATGAATACATCCATGCATAAATAAGAGCATAAACATTTCACTCTCATTGTATTCCTTGGAAACATTTGTGACATAACATTACGATAACTTTGATTAGCAAACCAACTCAATACATGTAATTGCAGAATATACATAAGAATTGGAATTCTTATTTCTCACCAACAGAAAGGATACACAACTGATAAATTATATGGCCTAGGACCTCCCGCTCCACATACTCTTGTCACCTCAATAGGCCCAACAACCGCAATCGGTCAAAACATAGCAACTGGGCACCCCTTGGGCACCTGCCATAGGGCTTCAAACATCAACATCTCATAGAGGACCACTTCGCAGATGCAAATGAGATCATTCCCGGCTTGGGGTGAACCCTCAGGTAGTAGCCTTCGGCTCCCAAGGGTGAAGCCTTTAACCTCGCCACAGAGAGCTTTCTGTCTCACGCCTCGTAGCGCCCAATCACTGCATTTAATGCTACGCCATGTGCCCACGTCTACTCCACATAGGTGCTCTCCGCCGTACGCGGACTCAGAAACTCAGAATCACGGGGTCCCTACTGTAATGTAACTAATTAATAAAAAATTAATAAAAAGAAGAAGTAAAATAGTAAAATAGCATAACATATCATAGTTAACATAACGTATACAACAATTTTAAAGAAATGTCTACTATCAACTAGAGCCCGTTTGGTAACACTGAAATCGGCTGAATCGGCTGATTCTGCTGAAATTTATGAAGTTCTGACTGAAGTGGTTGTATTGACTGTTTCTGCTGATTATGAAAAATTATATTATATTTAAAATATATTATATTAATAAAATAAAGAAGAAATGATATGAAAAATAGATAAAATGGTCATCTACAACAACTGTAGTCAATACAGCCTGAAAAGTAACTTCAACCTTATTTTTCTTATTATTACATATTTCAGCGCGTAAAATCAAAAGTTACATGTTTGGTTGAAAAGTTGGTTGATAAGCCTGATAAGCCGAAAACAGAATCACTAAACGGGCACTAAAATTTTATAAAGTTAATGTCCTCTATCAACTAAAAATAATGGGCATGCATATGAGAAATCAAATTTAAAAAGCCTACATTTGAAAATTTCTATCCAATTACTTCGCATTATTTTATTTGGATTTTTATTTAAAATATATTCGTAAGCTTTGTTTCTATTTTAATTTAATACAATTACCAATTTATTTGTGTAACTTTAAGAACTTTGTTGTTTGGCTGATTTTAGTCTTAGATCAAATCACATAAAGTCAAACAATGCGACAATGGCTCAAGCGACTGAAACTGCTATATTAGGAAATAATGATATTTAAATTATACTTCTTCCGTCTCTTTTTAGTTGCAACAGTCAACATTTCACGTTTGCCAGCGCACAACTTTGACCGTCATTATATTCAATTCTGTATTAGTAAAAATAAAATAAAAATCAGATTATAAGACTTAATAATGAGACGGATTTAACAATATTTTTCAAAAATAATTCACATACATTAATAAATAAAATGTAGTCAAAGTAAAGTAAATGAATAATGTATTCCAATGTTGTAAATAATGTGATACGGAGGATAGTATGTTATAAGATATGAAAAAAGTCATATGAAAAAGTGGCTAAGATGATGCTCTTACGGTAACTTCAGTCATCTCGCCGAAAAAATGATTTTAACTTGCTTATTTTAATTATTACAAATTCAGTGCGTGAATTCAAAAATTACGTGTTTCATGATGAAATTAGTTTATAAAACAGATAAGCTCAAATTTGGGGATACATACTGACTTTATAATAGTATTTGTTATGAAAAAAATTGGGTATAGGTTGAGAAAATTAGATTTAGATTAAAAGTTGGGCTAGAGAGGTGCATGATAACAATAGGTGCCCCAAGTTGTTCCATAATATTTTAATTATTACAAATTCAGTGCGTGAATTCAAAAATTATGTGTTTCATGATAAAATTAGTTTATAAAACAGATAAGCTCAAATTTTGGGATACATACTGGCTTTGTAATAGTGTTTGTTATGAAAAAAATTGGGTATAGGTTGAGAAAATTAGATTTAGATTAAAAGTTGGGCTATAGAGGTGCATGATAACAATAGGTGCTCCAAGTTGTTCCATAATTTTATTTTCAAAAAAGTGTACTCCCAAAGGAATCGATCCCTCAACCTCCTGCAAAAGAGCCTCAAAATTGGGCATCCAACCATTGCTCTAGCTCCATATTTATGTTGTAAACTAGTTTCAATTGTATAAATACATTGATTACTTAATTTTATGTAAAATATATACAAATATATATAGGTATTTTTTGTAAGTCCATGGGGTCCCGGGACCCCATGGGACCCTTAGTTGGCCCGCCACTGTCGCCGTATACTAACTTACATGTGTGTGTGCATGTAATGCATTTAGCTTTTATGACTAGTATAAATAGCAGTCTCTTGGCTGCGCAGTTGTAATGGTTTGAATATTCATTAATACGATTGTTCTCTCTCTCACTCACTTAATAGCTATGACTTCTCTCTACATACCGTTAGTGGTATCACGGTATCAGCTACCTATCAACAACCTTCTCTCACCAAGACTTTACCAATCCATTATACTCGTGAAATCAAATACACTACTTTGCCAGGATGTTTTTACTTAGATTGAAATTTTATGATCCGTTTTGGTCTAGTAAATATCTGATCTCTTTGTATTTTATAACTGTCCAAGTCTGATCTGATCTGATCTGGGACCGAAAACAATCCAATTCATAACATCCTTAAAGTTGATGATGTTTGCTGCTGCAAACACATTCAAGAAAACACAATGGATATTTATGAAATAAAGGAATATTGAAGCAAAAAATGTCGATAATGAAATACCATGCCTTAAAGAATGGTGAGCTGCAAAATCCGGCTTGTGCTAACAATTAAAGTTCTCAATAAAAATCATGCGATGAGTTTTAGTGATGATTTCACTGAGGCAAAATGGGAAATATCAAGGGTCTAAAATCATAACTGATCAACAACGAAAAATTAAAGAAAATATTGGTATCATTAGCTTCAGAATCATTACATCAATAAACGAAAAATTATACCCGACACCAACTAACCTCCACCAACTACGACTATAACCCCTATTATTAGATATAGAAATGGTACCGTTGAAAGAGCAACACGAATCGCTAACTCAAACTATTTCGAGGACATTGATGTATGCTGCCTCTCTAGCTTTGCTATTAACTCCATCAATAGCAGCAGTATAAGGGTAGCCGGTAGATAAACTACTTGTCTAGAGATAGTAATGATTTCCCGCTGAGCAAAATTTGTGAAATTAGCTACACGTACCTTAGGACTTTGATTTCTATCCACAATGGCTGCTGATGTAACCGGGTCTCCGATATGTGAAGCTGAATTTTTCATACCTATAAAGATTTCAGGAACCACTTGGTTCTTATTGTTCCTTGTGTTGGAAAAAATGTGTTAAAATTGAATTAGATGGTCAATTCGGGGCAATATTTTGAGTGGGGTCTACTTCCGATTTAGATCGGGTCAAAGTGGTTTCGGATTGTCCTTGTTAAGGGATACAATTTGATATATGGTACACTCAAAACGGATAACGGGTGAACGAGAAATTGATTATCGAAATTCACTCGTTGAAATGGAAAAACTGGGAAAAGAATGAGTTTCTAGTGTGCTTTATCCCACACAGGAAAAACCCAAGGGATTTTCACCCCTTTATAAAGGGAACCCCCTTGAAGGAGTTAAAATTTCTAAGGGGAAATGCTCCCTTCACACGCAGGGGGTGCTGATCAAATCCAGAAAACGGAGATGAAAAACCGCGACTTGCGTGCGCGGGTGACCTGCGGAGATGGATGTCGTCCGAAAATCTACCACCATTCAAGGATACGATTTAATTTGTTGAGTGTTCAAGCAATTGTGTTCGTAGTCATCCTATCCTGGGAAATGATCATTTCAACGCTCCTAACACCTAGGGAGGCAACAAATATGTTTTAAAGACACCATGCGTAGCACGGGCTTTGGCTAATTTCTTTTCCATCTCTTTTTTGTTTTTTAGCTATTAATATTAATTAATATTTCTTTGATTTCCGAGGCTTGAGTCACCACAAATAATTGCTCCTCGCGTTCATTGTCACCATAGCCGAACGTGTCTTCAGAGGAAGGTTTCAACTGATCATCCAACTCCTGCTGTGAATCTTGGGACTCGGAGATAGATTAAGACCGGGGAGATTCTTGCGCATGATGAAAAAAATCTTGCGCACAAGAAGATTTTTCTCTTGGTCATGTCGTACTATGATGCGAGTGGATAGCAGATGGAAATACCTTTGGACTCAGATGCGAACTGAGAGAAGTAGTTTGCAGATGCAAACTAGGAGAAACGAAAAATGTTGGAGCTGATTGCGAAGACACCTACGAACGAATGAGGGAGTCGACTTGCGATGACGAACTGTAAGGGGAAACAATAGTTCGCATAGAAGATTACGAACTGAAAGAAATTCTAGGCGATCGCTTATACTGGTTCTCTGTCTTCCGACTGCGTGTAGGCTGGAAACGCTGAGTTATGGCTTCCTTCAGAGCCTTCCAATTCTTTTCTCTCGTTTGAGTTTCCCACCATGGAAACCAGGCTAAGGCCCTTTCCTCCATCGCACCTACTGCTACTTCGACTTTATCTTTTTCTGCAGTAGCCTTGAGGCAGAAATACTCTTCCATCCTAGCAATCTAATCGTCTTCATCATCCCCGTTAAACAACGTTAAATCAACATTTCTTCTGGTACGAACAGGTCTTCTACGACTATCGTGACCCATACTCAAACGAGAGTGATCGGAATTACCTTCTGATGCCGTTGGACTCTCCGATTCTCTTGTTCGTCCGATTCTCCATCTTTTCCAGCGTACAGGTTACTCCTAGCGATTCACTTGCTCTGATACCAATGATAGAACACTGATAGAGATCAATACAATACAATGGAAAATCTAGAGAAATCAATCTAAGAACAAATCAACAAGCGTTTATTGAAGTAGGGAAAGATCACAGAAAGTAGACAGCGCCACAAAATATTCAAGACGCCTAATCTCCAAGCCAAGTCTCAACCGAAATAACAACCTACCTCTTAATCCTCCCCTCCCCTTCTATTTATACTACCTGTATTACTTGTATAATTTATTATTATTATTTCTATCAATAGTTTAATAAGCTTGATTCATATCAAATTCTTGAAAAACGATAACACGATTATGCATTTACCAATTATCATCAATATAATCTGCAAGTCACACCAAAATAATACAAATGATGATAAGTGTCCTCTCATATATCACTACAAATAATAACACACCAATCAAAGTTTGCGAAAAACATCTTTAATTTATCCTTTTCCAAAAAATATTGCCCTATAACTTGTTTTTTAATTGTTTTACGACTATAGTTTCGAAATTGAGGATTTAAAGCACCTTGAGCGTAATCACAAACGGAATTTAATTCAGACATAGCAGTAAGACTTTCAAAAACAATAAAATACAAATTTTCTTCACTTATTAATTCAGACATAGCAGTAAAATGTTTCACATTATCATAAACGGAATTACTAAAGGGTTGATTATTTCCAAATATGGGTGGACTCGGGTCCGGGTCGAGCCTAGGCCCGGGCGGGCCAGCGATTCAGGAGTGCTGGACCCGGGACCGGCCCGGGTAACCACCGGGTCAAGGCCAGGTCGGGCTTATTATCAATTTTTTTTTTCGCTCTTGCTAATTAATCCCCCTCCCACCCCCAACCCCCCAAACTAGCCCAAATGGCCCAAAATACCCAGCCCAACCCGAAAATTTAAAAAAAATTTAAAAATAAAATCAAATTTGGCCCGGCCGGGTCGGGCCTTGTTTTGGGTGACCCGAGCCCGGACCGGAAAACCCACGGGTCAGGCCTACCCGGACCGGTCACTGACCGGGCCACCGGGTCGGACCGGGCCGAAACAGTACTGGTTCCGGGTCGGGCCACCCGGCCCGAGTCCATCCATATTTCCAAACCTCAGTATTTGTGTTTTCTTCACATATTAATTCAAACATAAGATTTTAGTGTTTCACATTATCCGGTCTGGTTCAAAAACCGGCGGTTTCGGTTTTGGTTCAAAAACCACCACTTCCAGTTCCAAATTTTTAGTAAACCGATTTGGACTAGTAAACCTCTAGTTCCAAACCGGCGGTTCTGGTTCCGGTTCAAAAACCAGCGGTTCCGGTTTAACTGAAAACCGCAGACAAGTCTAGTCCTACTTCTAAAGCCTAGAGTACTAATTTTTCTTCCCAGTTTTGCTTTTTCTTCCAAGTTTGATTTATAATAGACTATCATCCAATTTTAAAAGTTCTATCAATCCTGTTTAACAAAATGCAAGCATAAGACCTGCGCAGGATATCGAAAACATTCTGAAATCAATCAGTAAAGGAAAGAAAAGAGAATCTAGAAGACAAGAACTAAACTTATGGCAAAGATAGAAGAACATACAAGGGCAGTAAAATCTTTATACAAAGTGAACTAAACTTATTGGAAAGATAGAAGAACATACAGGGGCAGTAAAATCTTTATACACAGTTGCAGAAGATTCTGTATTACATCATTATGCTACAAAATGGCAACAAATGCAATCACCAACCATCGTCCAGACTGGCGTGATGAAAACACAAGACACTGCAGACGAATATGAAAAATGATGTGAACTCTATGAACATCGCCCCTGTCCCTATCAAAGCCGCATGTTTCAGTATAATGGGGATGGCAATGCTCCCTACTGCAGATGCCCCCGTTAAAAATTTTGCAGCTTTAATCCAGCTGTGGTTGAGAACAAGAGTCAATTTAATATGAGGGAAAAAACGGTAAGAAAAAATAAAGAAATAAAGAAAAATTAAACAATGTGATAGAACTGATGATAAATGAGATAGATTCCTAATGGAACAAGAGAAACAATTAAGGTTCACTAAAAGAATATTTGGCTGGATACAGCGTTTGGTAACAATCAGCAGAACAATCCTTTCAAAACAAGCACTAGGCGAAAAGCTACTTCAGCTTATAAGAGAGATAAGAGTACCAAATGAAGCCTATAATCAAAACAGGTTCTAAAATTATAGTCCCCATTATGAGTTGGTGTCGACTGCTTGTCATATTGGAGAAGCATTTGCTAGCCTAAAGCACAGCCACCCGAAAAAAGATTGGCAGATGTGTGTGGATGGACAATAGGACTGTAGGCGGAGATTGGAAGAAATTAATCAAATGCCAAAATGCAGAACCAATGCCAGACGTGAGATGAAAAGCAGAAAGTGTGGAAACCCCTCCCTTCAATTTTCTGTCTTCTTGAATTTCATAATTCTACAGTTTTTTCGAAGATGATCATACAAGTAATTTTATATCTAATTCACTCATATCCAATAACAGCAAAGTAAAAAACTTACCCATCACCATCTCGGCTCATTAAGATTTGAGTGGATCCACCACCAAAGAACATACAAGGCATGGGCACCAGCACATACATAAGAGCTGTCAAAAGTATTCTCTTTATTATGCTAAGTAAGGGTAAATGTCAATCCTGTCCAAATACATATTTAGAGCAAACCTGATAACATTGGCCACCAATTGTTGTATAATACACAAGCCTGGAATTTCCAATATAAATAATCACTAATTGACTTATTACAATTTACAAGCATATGCTCAGAAGTCCCATACCAAGCCTATAAGGTTTACCAGTAGAGTAAAAATATTTTTAAGGTTGACTAATTTAGTTTCTCTATTTCAAATTAGAGGCTACTCCCTCCATTCCAATTTGATTTGCAAAAGTTCACTGGAATAAGAATTAAAAAGGCTAATAAATCAAGTATGGTTTTAATATTTTTACCCATCTCCTAAAAAGTAGAGACATTTATAGGAAATGGGGTAAAACTAAGGGTAAATTTGTCACTTTTATTCATCTTTTCATACATAAAATAGAAAGTGGAAAATCATTTTGAAACAACCAAAATAGAATATTTTGCAAAACAAATTGGGACGTAGGAAGTATTAATTTAACTTATATAGGGTTTTGAGAGGCCAGTAACCGAGTACCGACACACCAATCTCAAACCCGTTCAGGCCATTGAATATATTTTCATACATGTCTCAATCCCATTACAGCTTTTGAATTTAGTCCCGTGAAGTTTGGTCACTTCCGCACACCCTATTACACTCAACTTATTGTCATGCCTCGTGCCTACTACTACATCATGTTATGCATGCAATGGAAATTAAGCAAAATTAGATGAACCTACCAGGATCTGTAGCAGGATGCTGGTGGAAAACATGAAAGCGAGTCCCGCAAGCCTGTTATAACAAATCACATTTTGAATATACACTTGTCAAAAGTTTTAGCATTACATAAAGCTAGTAATGATAAAGACTGGAATACTGTAACTTACACTTCAACCAACAATTGAAGTCCAGATAGTGGATCCACATGACGCCAACACCATGGGAAAAGAATGTTAATATAATGCACTCAAATCACATGAATTTTAAAAATGAAGAAGGTGAAAAGCTCAGAACAGCTAAGCTTTTACACGGCTATATAATTTTCTCTCAGTGATTTCAACATATGCAAACTATACAATCATATTATAAAATACGGAGTAATAGTAAAAATGATATACTTACACGAAGTATATACTAAACGTTGAAACACTATCAGGATGCTTTGGGGATCCGGATAAAGACGATGAAATACTAGTGTAGATTTGCTTTATTAGACGTTTCTCATTAAAAACATGTGGATTCATTAGGGTTATAAGTGCGGGTGTAGCCTTAAAGGCATGCCGAGAGAGGAAAGGGAAACTAATCCAAATCAAAGGATATCTTGTTTTGTTTTTGCATTTTTCTTGAGTTGTGAAAACTTGAAGCATTGCCACAAATGAATGAGAACAGTAACCGTATGAATCTCAGTTTCTATAAATTTGATAATCTTTCGAATTTATAGACATGTTGGGTGGAGGATGTACCTTCTACGCTCATCGTCATCCTCTTTGGTTCGAAGAAGAAGCACAAATGGACTAAAACTTTGATCGCTAACCTAACGTCTGAACAAAGCATGCCCAAACCACGCAAAGAGGAACAGAGTAATACCACGAAGTACCACTGATTTTGGGTATTTCTACTCCACTCAATTTCTATTTTAATCCCCAAATTAAATTGTACTCCATAATAAGTTAGGATGTGTTTAGGGAAAATTCCCAAAATAGGAGTTAAAACTTTTGAGCATTTCAAATTAGGATTGTGATGTTTTTATTCCCTAAATAAGAGTAATCACTATCAAACTTGGAAAACATTGTCATGTTTGAAGTATGGTACTCCCAAAATATGACGATAATTACTCATATTTAGAAAATAAAAAAATGATGGTCCTATTTTGGATTACAAAAACATTATTACTCTTATTTAGGGCAATTTTCCATATTTTTACTTAGGATGTTTTTAATTGGATTGAAATTTTATGGTTTGGTCTGATTTACACTGGTTTGGTTTGGTAAATGTTTGGTCTGTTTGTATTTTATAAATGTCAATGTCTGATCTGGTCTAGTCTGAGACTAAAAATAGTCTAAGGGGGGTGTATTGGATATGGATTGTGGTGGACTTTTTTTTAATCCATGGATTTCTAAAAAAGTCTATGGACTTCTTAAAAAGTCTATGGACTTTTAAATCCATAGACTTTTAATCCGCTGACTTTTAAATCCGTAGACTTTTAAATCCGTGTACTTTTAAAATGAATGACTTTTAAATGAATGACTTCTATGGATTTCAATAAATCCATAGACTTTTACTTGGACTTATTTAAGACCATATCCAACTAGACCAAACTTTAATAAATAAGAATCGCTGCATAGAAAATATGACAAATATAATAGCTAATGTTCTCTATTCCGAATGAGGTGAAGCATAAGCATTAAAAAATATAAGAACAAAAAAAATAAAGTCATCAACACACAAAATGGGAACAAACGTCTTGTGCTACTGAACTATGGATCAAAATTATTCATTTTCTGCGGCTGCCCACATTTGAGTAGCAAGATTCATCCTCCATTCATTGGCCTTTTCCCTCTGTTGATCTTGTGTCTGAAAATCATCCCATTCAAGATTGTCCTCATCATCGCTAGGTGGGTCTTCTTCTGGATCCGGAGGAAATTCATCAGAACGACATTCACGTCGAAGAAAATTATGTACTCCTGCACATGCCAAAACTAATTCTGCTTGTGTTTTATAAGAGAAAGGAGGTGCTGTTTTGAAGATTGTGAAGCGTGACTTGAATATTCCAAATATCCGTTCAATCACATTCCTTAAAGAAGCATGACGAAGATTGAATAGTTCAACCGCATTAACAGGGTGATTTCCTTCACCACCAAAATCCTTTAGATGATACCGAGTACCTCTGAATGGAGCTAAAAATTGACACCGATTTGCAAATCCACAATCCCCCAAATAATATTTTCCTAGACATTGAATCATTACATAATTAGTATATCATACAATGCAATAAGTAATTGGTAACAGAGATTTGGATAAACATGTTAAAGTGTACCTGGTGGCACTTTAAGACCATTTGGTCTTGAAATTGCATCATTTAACACTTTTGAATCATGGGCAGAACCCTCCCAACCGCTAAGCACATATATGAATTGCAAATCAAAGTTGCAAGCAGCTAGTACATTTTGAGATATAGTCCCATGACGATTTCGATAGCTGTTCACTTCTCGTCCAGGTACTATTGCTGGAATATGAGTGCCATCTATTGCTCCGATGCAATCCTAGCATTAGGAAAAGAAGAAATACCAAAAAATAATTAATCGATTATCATTAATCATGTAAAATTGGTGAAGTGCATTAGTAAAAGAAAAAATACCCAAAAAAATTAATTAATCATTCTTAATCATCAATAAAGTTTTGCATTACTGACCTTGAAATGAGGATAAAACCTTGTACTCTCTCTGATGACATGTGGTATAGATTCCGGTTTGGCCATAAATTCAGGAGCTATTGTATTCAACGCTTTCAATACTTTGTTGAAGCTTCTGCTAATGCTGAAGTGTGACCGCTTAAATATCATTCTTGGTTGACAATAGCGGTTATTTTGGCCGATAATAAGTAAAAATGTTGCTACCATTTCTTCAACACAAATATATCTTGTATCTCGTAAAGGCGTTTTGTTTCTTAGGATACAACATAATTTTTGAAAAATGTTAGGATACATTCTGTATACATTTCTAAATGTTTTAGGATCTTCGGCCATTATTTCATCCATATATTTAATCCCATTAGCCGTCACAGGTCGGCGAGTCAATGGGCGTGGAACATGTTCATCATTAATTCTTGAAGTGAGATTGTATATCAAGTAAGTTATTGCTTCTATTGCCATTAGCAATATCTTAAGAGTCCCATAAAACTCAACCTCATCTTCATCTGCTCCATACATATCTGTTTCACACATTGCTAAAAGAAGAATAAAGGCATAAACTTTAAAAAGTGAACTATAATATATTTTAAAATAAAAGCATTCTAACGGATAATACATAAAATAGTTCAAATAATCCCTTTGCAATCCAAATAAATTAAATCACTCCAACAAAAGATAAAGTAAATACGCAACCATGACCTATTTATTATTAGATATCTCTAGAGGACAAATCTAATGAAGTTGTTTAACGATTGACAATCCAGTGATAGCGTTGTTCGGGAGTCATCCTTAAAAAGAAATCCTTCATTTGCTTTTTCCTCATTTGGAGACTAAACTAATGTTAAACTAGCTCTAAAGGATGAAGGATGGTGGAATTTTAACATGAAGGATGGTGGATCCTTCATGTTTAGGATACTTCATTTGCTTTTTCCTCATTTGCTAAAGGATCGGGTCCCCTTTTTCCTTTAGCTCTATTGCTTGATGAAGGTGGATCCTCTATATTTGTACCACCATCTTGTGGAAGATATGATGAGTCCTCCCTCTGGTGGGATGATGCATTTTCACTCGGTGTGAACATGTTAGTATTTGGATCAAAAAATAATCCATCAATGCCACCAATTCCACCTGATTCATCATCTACTCCTAACACTGTAGCGTCTGTATTTTCACCAAGACCAATTGCACCCATCCCAGTTGCAGTTCCATTCCCCACTGCGATTCTCAGATCCTCATAGTCCGGACAAGTTTCTGACCGAAGGTGTGCATGTTCTTTATGTGACTGATATAAAAAAATATAAAGTTTGTTATTATGATGTTATAAAATAGATACACAAATGAATAAAAAAAAATGCCCACCTTCAGGTAGTCAGCCCATACTTCTTCGGAAGCGGTGAATTTCTTTGTGGCCGCATCCCATCCGAATCCAGAGTTGTGCCGCATAAGTTGAGAGTAATTGGAGTATTGTTTTTTAAACCATCTGACTCTACTTTGGTAATGATTAAAACTAATTTCATAACCAAGCTTTTGCTTAAGTTTAGGAAGGAGTCTGGTCTCTACCATTTGTTTACTTATCACTCCATTGATATCACGAAGGCCAAGTTTGGCACTTTCAACCATTAGCTGAAGCAAGACATTACTCTCTTCTATGGTCCAAGTTTTATAATCCTTTTTTTTGGCATTACCTTGTGAATCACCCATCTATAAGACATGCAAAACCAATCACACAAACAATAAACACTAACTCATACCCCTTGATCTTTTCAAAGATAAACTGTATTAAGTTTTTGAACACATATTATATCGCCTACAAACTTAACTACAACACACTTATACATACAGAGGTAAAAACATAAAAAATGAACAAGTGTCTACAAACTTAAGTGCAGCACATTATACTTATCACCTCTTCCTTGTTTATTAGTTTTAAACAAGGAACAATCCTTTATTGGCACATGAATCATTACACATTGGAATTTTCCTACGGTTAAAATGTGTCCTTGACATGTTGCCACTTCACTGGTCAACAACTATGCTCATTTAAAAAAGAAAGACGGAAGTGGGGACTGGGGAGAGCTACTAGTCCAAGAAAATCGTATATACTCATTTTTTTTATATAATTTCTATATCATAGAACTATCTTTTATAAGAACACTTATATGTTAAGGCAGAAATCCAAGTTTATATACCATCTTGATAAAATATAAAAGATGTTAATCTGTGTACAAGGCAGAAATCCAAGTTCATTCCTTTCTCTTAATTAATGCTGTAAACTTATAATAGTTGCTCAAAATCTAAATTAGATTAGATGCAAGGGAAAGAAAAGTGAAGTTTAAAGCCCTCCCAGGTTCTTGATTGCTGTTGCGGCTGCTTGCATAGGAAAAGGAAGAAACCTGCTCTGCTGCTAATTGACCAAAAACGAAAGAAAAAACTCATACCTACGGCTGCTATTGTCTAAAGAAGAGGCAACTCCAATTACTCTTCATTGAAAACAAACGTATTAGTTGGATAAAGTGTTATGCTTTAACAAATACTAGATGAATAAAATTGCCTAGAAGTTTGAAACTGTTTGCAGATTAACAAGAAACATACAAGTGTTATGAAAATTAGCCGCAACACTAACAAGAAACATACAAGTGTTATGCTTTAACAAATACTAGTCCTTGTTTATTTTATGTGTATATTCTAATTAGCTTAATTAAGTGCTGATCGCCGTTGAATGCAACCCTGGCTATCACTGTGAAGACACACACACAATGGCCTGTCGAGCTCTTTTAAGGAAAAGGAAGCTCGTCTCAGACTATTTAGAGGCATCTGTTCAGTCAATTCAAAAATTTCAGAAATTCAGCTCTCTTCAGCCCACTCATTGTTTTGGAGGTGTTGCCTCAGCCGGAAACCACCTTTGTCAAATTCAGCTCTCTTCAGCCCACTCGTATTTCTTAACCTCTATATACTCTGATTTCTAAAGCAAAAAGAAGTTACCTAGAAGTTTGAAACGGTTTGAAACATGGTGGAATTCTACTCCGTACAAAAATAACAACGAACAAATATGGATAAGCAATTCAGAAAAGAGTAACTTACCTGGAGTTTTTTTTCTTGATGAAACGGTTGTTCTTGGCGAGGCGAGCAAGAGGAGAAGACCCAAGGAGAAAGTCTGCGTGAAATCTCTTGGGAAAGCACGAGACAATCGATGATAAGGACTATATATACGATTAGGTCTAAAGTCCAGGAAAATCCATTATTTTGTAATTCCATAAGATTTGTTAATATTTTGAATACACCCGTACTTTTATTGACTTTTAGAAATCCTAATTGAATACACCCGTACTTTTATGGACTTTTAAAAGTCCTAATTGAATACATCTAGATTTCTAAAATCGATAGACTTCTAAAATTTTGACACGAAATCCCAATACAATACACCCCCCTAAGTAAAATTATCCTTAGACTTATTTCAATCTCAAACCAGACTAGACCAGATCATATCAGACCGAACCAGATCACATAAAACTAGACCAAATTTTTATAGTTATAAAATACACAAAACCATACATTTACCTTACCAGACCAGTTCATGTCAGATCAAATCAGACCAAATCAGACCAGATGAGACCAAACCCGAAAATTTCAATCCAAGTAAAACATCCTTGGAACTTTTAATATATCCAATTTATTACCATTTAACTAAATATAGCTTGATCCCTTCCAAAGAAAAAATATAGCCACGTTTGGATGGGGTGATACAACTAGGTACTTTCATCCTATTGTTAAGAACAAGAATGCAAAAAATTCTATTGCTTCCCTTAGATTGGAAGATGAAAGTCTTACCCAATCGATAGACCAAATTGCTAATGAGTTTGTTGTATTCTTCAAAGGACTTTTTGGGACTAATGTGCCCTCGGTTGACTATGATCCAGGTGTCATTAATTCGGGTGAGATCATTGATCAAGCTAGTGCTGATGACCTTGTTAGTCCAGCTACTGATTTGGAAATCAAACATGCATTGTTTGACATTGGTAGTGGTAAAACACTTGGAACAGATGGATATTCATCAACTTTCTTCAAATCTAATTGGAGTATAGTTGGGGATGATTTGTTTGCAGCAGTAAGGGAGTTCTTTGTTTCTGGGACTATGCTTAGACTGGTTAGTCATACAGTTGTAGCATTGATTTGTAAGACAAATCACTCCCCCACTGTCTTGGATTTTAGACCAGTTTCTTGTACTAATGTTACATACAAGGTTATTACTATGATCTTAACATCTCGTTTAGGTCCTTTTCTTCCTAGTATTGTCCACCCTTCACAGGGAGCCCTTGTTAAGAAAAGATTGATGGGTGATCATATCTTCCTTGCACAAGAGTTAGTGAATGGATATACTAGGAAAATGGTAACACCTAGATGTATGATAAAAGTGGATCTTAGGAAAGCATATGATACAGTTTCATAGCATTTCAAAATGATCTTTTCAACGAGATATAATACATTTATAACAGAACAACACACAACAAGATATGAGTGTCACAAATACTACATAAGAACAAAAGGCGTCATAGCATGAGAGCAAGATCTTAATCCAGAGACTTCCCATGGGACTAGCTCTGTTTTTAGTTTCCACAATTTTTCGCTTTTTGTATTGCTTTCCCATTTTCGTTATCACTTTGTACTAATTTCCTTTTCTAAATAAAATTTCTCTTCTTTGTTAAAAAAAGAGTGTCACAAATACTAAGTCTGAACTTTGTGATGCAGCGTTTTCAGTGTAAATAGAGTATTTTTAACGTAAATACAGTCTATAATTTGAAATTCAGTTCAATATGCAGTTTTCCACTAACATTTTGAAACCAACGTCTGAAAAAAAGTTTAGAACTCGATAAGATCTTTCCAACGAGATAGAAAATGCTTTAAACAGAATTAAATACAGCAATATATGATCAGATGAATTTCTACATATGTTCGGAGCTAAATAGGGAATGTTTGTGAATTTAAGGTTAATTTCTACCTTATACTTAAATGCATTGAAAATTGAGTAGAAACAATAGCTTTAGAACTCAAAATGAGAATGATCTTTCCAACGAGATATAATATACACTTGAAACGGAAGAACATGCAGCAAGATATGAGTGTGACAAATACTAAGCCTGAATTATGTGATTTAGTGTTTTTAGTGTAAATAGAGCATTTTTAGTGTAAATACATTATGGGATTTGAAATGCATTTCATTAGGTGTTCTTCCCGTTATATTTTGAAACGACGCCTGAAAACGAATTTTAAAACTCGATAACATCTTTCCAAACGAGATAGAAAACGCATTAAACGGGACTAAATACAGCAAGATATGATCAAATCAATTTCTAAACATGTTCAGAGTGAAATCTGAAATGTTTGTGAATTTCAGGTTAATCTGTACCTTATCCTTAATGCATTGTAAAATGATCTTTCCAATGAAATATAATAGGCTTGAAATGGAAGAACATGCAGCAAGATATGAGTGTCACAAATACTAACCCTGAACTCTGTGATTTAGCGTTTTCAGCGTAAATAGAGCATGTTTAGCGTAAATACAGTTTGGGAATTGAAATTTGGTTTATTATCTAGTCTTCCGCTAATATTTCGAAACCGATGTCTGAAGATGAGTTTTAGAACTCGATAAGATCCTTTTAACGAGATAGAAAAAGCTTTAAACGGAATTAAATACAACAATATATGATCGGATCAATTTCTACACATGTTTGGAGTGAAATCGGGAATGTTTGTGAATTTCAGGTTAATTTGTACCTTATACTTAATGCACTTTGTAAATTGAGTCGGAAGAATAGCTTTAGAAATCAAAATGATCTTTCCAACGAGATATAATACGCTTGAAACAGAAGAACATGCAGAAAGATATGAGTGTCACAAATACTAAGCCTGAACTCTATGATTTAACGTTCCAGCGTAAATAGAGCATTTTTAGCATAAACACAGTCTGAGATTTGAAATTCGGTTAATTAGGCAGTCTTCCCATAATGTTTTGAAACCGATGCTTAAAGACGAGATTTAGAACTCGATAAGATCATTCCAACGAGATAGAAAACACTTTAAATGGAACTAAACACGGGAAGATATGATCAGATCAATTTCTACACGTATTTGGAGTGAAATCGGAAATGTTTGTGAATCTCTTGGCTCACGTAAGACTCTTTTCCCTCACGTAAAATTTCTCACATTCTTCCTCATTTCTCCATGGATTCTTCTTGTTTGAGCTTAGTGATACGTTCGTAATTTCCATATGTATGTTTGTGTTTTTAACTAGTTTTGATTGATTTTCACGGTGGAAATTACACACTTTTGGTGTAATAGTTTAGTGTATTAAATTCTTGTAAATTGTTTAGATTAGGTTCATTCTGAGCTCAAACAGGTCTATTATCACTCAAAGGACAGTTGGTGAACCCCAAAAGTGGTAGGAAGGTGCAAAATCACAAGACAAAAGGAAGATCCTGATTTTTTGGTCTATACCCGGTCGGGTATGACCTATACTCGATCGGGTATCTTGTTGAAATTTCAAATCAGATCGGATCCAAAGACAAAGGAACATGAAGGGAAGATTTTGACCACGATCGAGTGTCTATACCCGATTGGGTACACCGACACACCCGATCGGGTATCCCTTCTGAACTAAGCCCGAAATCGATCGAGTATACCTCGGATCTGAGGTTCTACACATACTCGATCGGGTACAAGTCTACACCCAATCGGGTGTGCTTATAGAATATACCCCATAATCGATCGAGTATACCTCGAATATGAAGTTTTACACATACCGGGTCGGGTACCGTGTGACACCGTCCCCGAGCATGTTTACTTTTAGTAAATGATGTAGTAAACCTTGAAGGATGATTTATGAATTTACGTAATAGTTAAAATTTTATTACTTCTTTTACGTGAATAGTAAATTGCATGTGGGGCCCACAGCGGAAACGGGGACCGCCCGATAATTCCCGAACCACATATTATATTCATCTTGGTCTAGATGACATCCATATGGTTGTGGACATTTTATTTGGGCCATAAGAAAGGCATGGAGTTGACCGGTTGGTCAAACGGGGCCTAATTACCGGTATTGGTAATTTAACGGATAACAACCCGAAATGAGCTTCGGAGACTCCTAAAATAATGTTGGGGAATGTACATCTATTCTAAAGGCCCATAATTATTAGGAACACGTGATATATTTTATTTGGCCCGATAAAATAAAATATGGTTAAAACAGTCCGAGAATTACAACTTTCGGGGCCGATTGTAGACACCGGGACATAATGGGATGACCTCCCACATAAGTGGGGGCCACCCCACGTTTTTATGTGCTCTAGTTGACTAAATGGGAGCTGGAAGAGCATCAAAACAAGGTAGGGGCGGATTATTAAGTGAGGTGATGTGCAAGACAAACACCCACACCCTTTGGCCCATACTCCACATTATTTTGCTCTTTGATTGGGAGGGGATACTTCCTCCTTCCATCCTCACCATTCGGACAAGCCAAAGAGGAGAGAGCTCAAGAAGAAAGTCTCCAACAAAGTCCAGGGTAGGAGGAAGCAAGAGGAAAGAAAACCCAACACAAAAAGGCTAAGATTTGAGGTAAGAACTTAGCTAGTATACATTAACTAGTATTTTATTCATATGATTTTTAAGAAATCATATGGTGGATTAAACATGATGTTCTACACGTTTAAAAGTGTAGAATATTGATATAGAATGGTGGTATTTAACTTAGAAGAGTTGTGGAATCGATAGGAGTCGAAACCGCCGGGAAACCGCCATTGTTGGGGACTGTTTTCGAGCTGCATGCCCGAAAGCCGCCCACCTTTCACGAAAGCCGCCCGGCTTTCACTTGATTTCCAGATTTTTCACTCTTGAACGACCTAGAACAAGGACGGATCGAGGGGGTTCCGCTAGGGCAGCTAGTTGAGCACATCACAAGGTGAGGATGGCTGACTATATTGCTTATAATTAGTGAGTTAATTTCATGAGATTACCGAAGGTAATTAAATGTGTTTTTATGGATTATTAATGATTAATAATGCCTAAAAATGAAAAGACTAAATGTCTAAAGAAAAAGGAGCATGATATACAAATTTAAGAGTAAATTGTGTATGTTCATGTGTTATGAGTATGTTGACTTGAAAGTGGAATTTATTATGAAACATATGTTGAAATATACTTTTTTCTTCATATTAGAATATATGAGTGATTAAAAGTGATATTTTGAATATTGAGATAAATGATATTTTCAAAGGAAAATCAGTTGGAATTGTCTATATGACTATGAGTTGAGAACTTGGTTTGTTGATATTAATTTGACTAGTATTAAGATACTAGTTGGACATTAAAATGAAATGTTGTTAAGATTGATCCTAAGGTTGGATTGTGAAATGTTATGCCTTAAGTAGTCTTAAGAGATGCTTTAAGGTAGGAAAGTATGAACTTTAAGTTATACTAGGGGTAGGCCTTAAGGGATACCCAAGATAATGTAAATATTAAATTGATCCTAGATATAGGATTGGCCTACGGGTGTGCTCGGTAGTCCTTGTGGATAGCCGGTTGAATTATGGAAATAAGTAAGGACCATGGCCCTTCCCGACTCTAGAGAGCGGGGTTGGATAGCATGGACTTACATCGTGATCACGGGTTAGGGTGGAATCCGAATCGGAGACCTAACTAGGTTCCGGTAGTGGTAACACATAAGATAGGACCCCGAAGGGCCTTACCTTCCTACGGGATGATGGGTATGAGTCCAGGGGCGGGATGTTGGAGTCCGAACTGGGAGCCTCATGAGGTCTCGGACAGCGGTAGCAAGTCCCGTAGAAATAATAGGACCCAAGGGTTGGGTTGTGCAAATGATAAATGAAAAGGGATATATAAGAAGGGTCGTGTGTCGACAAATAAATAAATTTACTTATTATAAAGATAATAAGTGGGAAATATAAATTATTATTTATATTATGATATCACCCTATTTTGAGGGTCTTGGAAATTAAAACGTTGATTATACTTAGTATAGTTGCTATTGTACTTATCAAATATTTTCAAGTACTGACCTCCCCTTCACGGGGGAGGCCACCTCACAGTTTCAGGTAGAACTTGAAGTTGCTACCATTGCCCGTTGCTCCGGGAGGCTCAAGGGAGGAAGACGTGGTTCGTGCTTCTTCCGTTCTGTTTTAAAAACAATTAAGTTAATGCTCATGGATACTATTTTCTTAATAATTACTTTGGGGGCTTGTATGCCTAGTTATGCCAAGTGTGGCTTGAACAATTGTATTAATGCTTCCGCTGTTTTAAATGCATGTTTTACATTATGTTTGTTTATGGATGTACTATGTGTGAATCATATTCATGACGCCTTGTATAGTATGGATGAATTGGACTGCGGTTGACTATTCGTACTGTACGGCGGGTTGTTGACGTGTCCGGCTAGGTCCGGGGCGTGACATACCGTGTATATACACGATCGGGTACCCGAGCTGCATCCCCTAAAGCCTATAAATAACCTCATTTTCCTTCACTTTTAGACATCCCTTCTTCCATACTCTTAAGCTCAGTTTAGAATAGCATTTCTTTATATTTTTCTAGCTATGTTTAGTCTCCAAACGAGGAGCTAAACTCTTCCATCTTGGTGTTGCTCTTGAAGCTTGTTGATTATTAAAGTTGTGAGTTATTTTCTTAACTTCTTTCCTTGAATATTAATAACTCCCTCCGTCCCGGTCATTTCTTCCGGTTTTGACCGGTATCGCAAATTTAGGTAGTGGGAATAAAGTGAAAATGTATGGTTGTAGTTGTGTAAAAAAGGTGAATGAATGTGAACCACATATTTTTTCCAAAAGTGGAAGTTGGAAGAATTAATTGGGACGACCCAAAAAGGAAAGTTGGAAGAAATGACCGGGACGGAGGGAGTATTAGTTTTTTCCTTAATACTATCTCTATATTAGTGTTGGGGAGTGTTGCTAAGATGACAATTAATTAACATCTTGACATTAGTTGGAGTAGTATTTTCTTCCTCTATATTAATATTGGGGAGTGTTGCTAAGATGACAATTAGTTAACATCTTGATATTAATTATAGTAGGATTCATCTCCTTAAATAATATTCTTCCTTGAATATTAATTAATTCCTATTCATATTTCATATTAATATTTTGAACATTACTTATTGGATCAACTAGTTTTGTTTCATATATTAATTATTACTAGAAACGATCAACGAACCGATGGTTAATCGTTGATGGTTTCACAAGTAAGTAACTTCGATTTATTAATGTGCGGTCGTGGTTGATAAACTTAAGAGGGATTAATTTTGTTTGTTAAACCGAAACCGTTGTGTTGAGGTTATCAATCTCAATTGGTTTCATCAAGGAGTTAAGAGATTAAATGCTACTATCAAGTCGGTATATGGCGGTGTTCTATACTTGACTAATAGTACGGGTTATTAATGAACGATCGTTGTTAATAACTACCCTCGATGAATTGGATATACTTCTCGATTGAGTATTCGAGAGGGAATAAGTTATAGATATAACAATGATCGACTAAAATATATCAACAAGTGGAAAGTAGCAATGCCAAGTCCTTTTTATCTTTGAATTAAAATCTCATATAAGTCTTTCATCTTAGTTTTTAAATTAAATCATTCAATCCCAAAACCCACCTTTTATTTACTAGTTCGTAAAAAGAAAAGTATTCATTTCCCTGTGGATACGAACTCTACTACGCTATACTACGGTATTAGCCCTTAATAGTGAATTTAATTCGAGGCACACTACGACAAAGTGCTCGTCACTTAGATATTATTTATATTGCCTTCATATCTTCCTTGAGGTGTAATATTCCTAATTTTTAGCTCTCTTTTGGTGTCTTTGGAGAAAATCGTCGAACTGAACCACAAAAATATTATTCATTTCCGAAAGTCAACACATAGATCCTTGTTGATTGTCTTGCTCAAATTTTGATTGGGATATGGGGTAAGCGTCCCCTCACCTTGGGGATCCACATACTCCATTTTCATCATCATAAAAAACTGTTGTACAAGTGAGCCTCCATTGGTACGAATATCCTAGCTTCCATTAGTACGGATTTGAGCTCATACAAGGAAGACATCATAGGTACTCTCTTTGTACTAGGGGTGGCTACCTCCTAGCTTCCCTTTCCTTTGATTTGAGTTCTTTCTTCTCTTCTCTTGTTACTCTCATCTTCCACCAAGCCGAAGATTATGGCCAAGAAAAAAGATATTCCTCCACCAACTAAATCTTCCACACGGCTTAAGGCTAATGCCCAATCTAGGGAGATAGATGAAGCTATTGCGGCTATGGTCCAAGAAAGTGAAAGCGAGTTGTCTAATTTCGAAGATGACTAACCAAGTGAGGATGAAGAGTCCTCTAAGAACACCTATGAGCAGAAGTCAGAAATTGAACCAACGATGGAGGTAACCTCTTCTCCTCTCCAAAATGATGTTGTTGTTTTCCAAACCGAACCCTTGGAGGACAGTATTGGCCTAGATGAACTTCTAAAGGATAATGGAGATGTGCTACTTCATGAGGATGCTATGACTTCTGTCCAACCTGATTCTAATGTCATGGCATTAAGAGTAAAAGATGTGGTCAAGCCACAAAATTGGGAGGATACTGTTACATCTAAACCATGGATGGGTATCCCTCTTTAAAGATAATAGGGAACCAGACAAGGGAATGAAGCTAAGATATATTGAACCCGTGGGGGACATCATTGACCTCACAAACAAAAAGCTTTCTTCCATGGTAGAGATTTTGGGGTATTGCCTTTTGGCATACTTTTCTTGTCGTTTCTCCAATTTCAAGGCTATACATGAGATCGTACACAAATGGGGTGCTCAATTCAAAGTTAGAGCCCGTGATAGGGGGTGGGTTATTTTCAAATTCCAATCAGAAGAGGATAGGGCTAAAGTTCTTATGGAAGGGCCGTACACTTTGTTTGGGAAAACATTCCATATGAAAACACTTTCGGAGGACTTTGTCGTGGATGATGAAGAGTTTCCAGGGGTTACTGTTTGGGTCCAATTCCCTCATCTTCACTACTAGAATAATAGCTATTTGCTGCGGTTGTTTTTGGCTATTTGCTGCGATTTTGAATCGCAGCAATTGAAGGAGCAGCAAAATGTAGATTTGGTTATTTTAATTCACTTATTGCAGCGGTCGTACACAACCGCAGCAATTTATACATAAAGTATAAGTTCCGTTAGTTTCTTGTTTACTTTTCCAAATGGATGATGAGCACGTTTTTTCTTTTTACCCCAAATAAAAAAAACGTACCTATACTGTATGGAGCATATACATATAGGTACCTATACGTACCTATACTTTTTGCTTTATGTATAGGCTATACATAAAGTATGGAGCAATATAATCAATCATATTCCATCACTACCAATCTTTATGAGTGGTATAGAGTACAAAAATTACAAGACTTAAATTATGGAGCAATACAATCAATCATATTCAGAGGTAAATTACAAAAAGTCAAAAACATGGGAAATAGTCGATACAACAAGACTTATAATCTTACAATACAATATTTATGGGTGGTATAGAGTACAAAAATTTATCACAAACACATATCACCCATTTATCCCGAACTTCAGCAATTCATTTATCATTTAGAGTGCTTTTGTAAATCTGAAAAATTAAGCAACTCCAATTAGTACATGTTTACATTTATAGCATCAAGTAAATAATTATATTAATAATGATAAAGTAACTTTATTATAATCATATAGTTGTCATTTTTATATTTATTGCTTACTAACGATGAATAATTTTCAAAGGTTAGCTTTATCTAGAACATGAGTAGGATTTACATTTGTTATGCTCTTTAGAGATAGCAAGCTCCAGACCTGAAAGTGCAGAAAAAACTGCAAAAAAAAAAACAAGGTGCATTGGTTAACAAATGATAATAAAAAAATGTCATTTTTTTTAATTGCAAGTAATGAGCTCATACCAGATATGGCAGGTGAAAGAATACCATCACCTATGACCATACAAGCTCCAAGTAAAGCCAATACAAGCTGCAATACCCTATGCCTCTCCAAAGAAGATTTTAGCCCTTTCCCAATAGTAGTGTGGGGTGGAGCAGTTCTATCATTCTTGTAAAATGACAGTTCTTCATCTGCTGACTGACAAGTTGGCAATGAGCTAACCCTGGCATGTCTACAGAGGAGAGAATACAAGTTGGCATCGATACAGGTATATTCAGGTTCAGAGCCCATAAATGTTGATGTTAGAAGTAACTCTCAAAGCTGCACAAACACCCACTAAAACTGCAAGTATTTACTCCAAGCCAAGAAAATAAATGAGAACAGAATACATAGAGAGGAGAAGAACTAAACCATTAATCTCACCAATTACCACCCATTAGCTAAATAAATTGAAGACTGGATAAAGAGAAGATGCAAAAGCGAAGGCAAATCAGTTAATGTTGTGCCCACCTCTATCTTTAATTGAAATCAAAGATTTAAACAGAATGGTTAATCTTCCTTCCCAGCGCACACCTTAAATATGAAGAGATTGAAGAATCCCAAAATGTCGAACTCCAACAATCACTAACCCCAAGGGACTAGTGCATATATACCGTCTAAATCAATTACCAAGCCTCAAGCGAATGCTATCACTGAAGTATTAGTCTCTGATAACTGAAAAAATATTCCAATTGTCAAGTTACGAAGAAATGATAGATAAAGCGGTTGCAAGTTCATGAAAAGTTTATAGTACAATAAATGAGGCATCTTAATCTCCGTTTAATTTTGGCAGTGGTAAAAATAGTAGTACGTACTGATTTTAATTTAATATTTATGATGATCGTATCACTGGCCATGACACTTTAATTCTAATTCAATTAAAATAAAAACCACGCACTTGGAGAAGACAATGAGATAAAAAAAATCTTTAAACATCATTTTTTCCTGCTAGGATAAGCACCAAACGAATGAAGTTGCAGAAGGTCAAAGAACCATTATCACATGTGTCAGATTTATAATACATCGATTCTTAATAGATTGTAATGAAAGACCAACCTGAGGGGCTATAGAGGTTCAACTAGTGCAAAATCCTCAGATTTCTTTAGTGGAATAATCCAATTGATGCATTTTTCATGGACGATTCGTGAAGACTCAGTCGAGTTGTTTGCTACATGCTTTCAGTGGCCATAAATATCCCAAATGAGTCTGAAAACTGAGATCCATGTTTGTATTTGAAAATGTTGGTTTCCTTTCATCTAAGAACCTTAAAAAGCACCATAAACCTGTTCCATTGGCAATGAAACTCTGTAATCAATAGCCAAAGAAAGATGGTAAATTTATAGATTAATCAATAATGAAAAGTATAACAACAAAAATAAAATCTGTTCACTTTCATATTAACAGAACAAGCCATCCACGTTCACAAACACTTTTGATTGAAACGCTTAACTTTTAATTATCATCTTCAATTCAACTTTGCATAGCTAAAATTCCATTCTGAAAGCTATGCGTAATTTTAATAAAAAATGGCATGTTTTGTAATAATGAACGGATGTCTTAAATCTATGAGCAACCAAACATAAATATTATATTTCTATTTTGGATTAGGTTGAACCATTCAAACATGGAGTCCAGTCAGTTTCTAAAATTAGAATTCAATTGAATGGCAACACTAACCTTTTCATTAAATTTATAAATCGATAAAAATGAACATTACAAACACAAATTTAACAATCAACAGTACTACTAATACCAACACCAAATATCATTACTCTTCTCTAATTAAAATTAACCATACTAACAAAAAATTTACTAAAATGATATAAAGATACTCACTAACCTTGAAAGAAGCTGGGTGGAGATGTGGAGACCTAGAAGCTGCCCCCTAAGGAGCTAGGAGGCGACGAACGATTAATGAGAAGCGGTTGCAGACGTCGAGCGAGAAATGGATCAAGGTGGTGGCAGTCAAGCGAGGGCGGTGGCAGTCTTCGAGAGAGCGGCGGTGGCGGTCTTTGAGCGAGCGGCGAATGCAGACATTGAGCGAGCGGCAGCAAGAAGACAAACGAGAGGCGATGGCGATGGACGGGCTGGGGTGAGGACGTGGTAAGTTCACAAAAGGGGTCAAATAAGTTCTTATAAGGTCGCCGCCTCCCGGTGGAATTTTTTGATAAATTTTTTTGAGCATCTTATTCATTATGTCTAGTTTACTCATACAAATTTTCAGATAAAACTTCAATCGGGAAGACATTCAAATGAAGTCTTGAAGATAACTGCGCAGTTAAAATCGCAATTATCTATAAGACTTCATTTGAATGCCTTCACAGATTCAAGTTTTAGCTCAAATTTGGTATGTGTAAACTAGACTTAATGAATAAGATTCTAAAAAAAAATCATCAAAAATTTCACCGGGAACTACCCCAAATGGTGACGGCCGGACAATAAGGACGTCATAAAGACTTATTTGACCCTTTTATGCAACTTCCAGAACCAAACCCACCCTTACCTCTTTGCTTATTTGACCCTGCCGCAGCTAATACTTCAAATTATTACTTATTTGCTGCGGATCCTTGTTGACCGCAGCAACTACTTGAAAATTATAAGTTAATTGATGCGATCCCTCCTTGACTGCAGCAAATAATCTAAATAAATTAACTATTTGTTGCGGTTTAGTTATGACCGCAACAAATACATAGCAGCAAATATGAAAAATTCTAGTAGTGTTTCCAATGAGAATTTTGGAAGAAGACATCATTAGTGAGGTGGCATCTAAAGTTGGGGTTCCTCTAACCACGGATAGAGTTACCTAAGAGAAGGCAAGATCTCACTTTGCTAGAGTCTTGATTGAGGTAGATGCATCCAAACCTCCTCCTCTTGAATTCAAAGTTAGATTGCCGAATGGGAAGCTTCACATTTAAAGGGTGAGATGAGACCTTTCCCAACTATTGCTTTCATTGTAAAGCATTTGGCCATCATGCTTTTACATGTAAGACAATTGTCGAACTTGAAAAGAAGGAATTGGAAGAAAAGAAGATCAAGAAAATTGAAAATGTTGGAGGGGAAAAGAAGAAAGAGGAAGCCTCCTAAAGCTAAGAAAAAGGAACAACCCGACCTTTTTTAGAACAGTCAAGTGTGCTAAGGGAAAGAGAAGAAAACCACAAAGTGAGAAAGATGATGAATCTCCGGGTATGAGATCCAAGATGAAAATAAAGACCAAGAAGACCAAATTGTCTGTACACCCCAAACCTTTAATGATGCATATTTCGATGAAGTTGTACTGGACATGGAATCGGAGGAAGTGCTAACACCTATCATCAAAATCAAGTAAATTTATGAAGTTGACAAAAGTGCTACCATTTTCAAATTGGATCATAACCTTCCGCTAGTGACCAAGAAAGTGCGTGTTCGAAATGTTTTTCACTAAAGAATGTTTAGAATCTCTACCTAAAATCAAACCAATTAAGAAAGAGAGGATATGTGTATAATACCCAATTCATTAAATGTGTCTATAGGCACTATTTGAATAGGTATTTTGAGGATGGATGTCTACGTGAGATGCATCTAAAGTTAATTTTACAGATTTGAAGAAGTTTAACATCAAGGAGATCCGAATTGTTAAAGACATAAGAAAAGCATATGTTGATGATGTGTTGGTCAACATTGAACTAGACAAAGACAAAGGGCCGAATATACATCTTAAGCACCATGAAATGATTCAAGAGAAGTTGGTAAGATTGGACAACTATTTGGGAGTCACACAAGATATATTCACCAAAGGGTTCAACTTCACCAAAAAGTGCATAGAATCTTTGTCCATTGTCATATCACAATTATTGGAACATGCATATTCTTTGTTTTTCATTGATAGGTACAAACGGAAGGAGGGCCAAGCTATCCGAGTGGACAAAGGTGGTAGGAAAGGAAATGGGACCAACACCTCTAAAAGGTATTACGGAGTATATATGTGTGTATTATTTGATGGAAATAATACTTAAATGTACTGATAACACCTTTTAGAACAAAATATTAAAAGTTGAGACTATTAGTTGTTAACCAATATTAACACTCCTCTCCTCCATGATGAAATATATACATATGTACCAACACCACAAGAAGAGGAGAGAACATCACAACTCAAAAAAATTAGTTTTGCTTGACTTTTACATTGGAAATTACACACTTTTGGTGTAATAGATTAGATTGTTAAATTCTTGTAAATAGGTTAGATTAGATATATTCTGAGCTTAAGCAGGTTTTGGTCACCCAAAGTACAGTTGGTGAACCCAAAAAGTGAAGAGAAGGTGCAAAAGTTCAAAGACAAAAGAAGATCCTGAATTTTGGTCTATACTCGGTCGAGTATTAGCTATACTCGATCGGGTATTAGGTTGGAACTTCAAATCGGATCAGATCCGAAGACAAAGGAACATGCAGGGAAGATTTTGGCCACGATTCTATGTCTATACCCGATCAGGTAGACCGACATACCCGATCGGGTATGCCTTTAAATTGCAAACGAAGATCGGTCGAGTATAGCCCGAATACCACTTTCTAAGCATACTCGACCGGGTATTCATATATACTCGATCGGGTATACACTTAGAAAATAGTCTGAAACCGGTCGAGTATGCCTCGGATCGGGTGTTACACACATACTCGATCGGGTACCATGTATATACCCGATCGAGTACCCGAATCCCATCCCAAAAACCTATAAATACACCTCCTTTCCTTCACAAAAAGGAATCCAATCCCTTGTACATCTAAGCTCAGTATAGAATAGCTCTTTCTTTATATTTTTCATCATGTTTAGTCTCCAAATGAGGAGCTAAACTCTTCCATCTTGGTTTTGCTACTTTGAAGCTTAATGAATTTGTAAGTTGTGAGTTATTTTCTTTAATCTTCTTCCTTGAATATTAATTCTTTCTTTCAAAATACTATCTCTATATCAAAGTTGGGGAGTGTTACTAAGATGACAATTAGTTAACATCTTGACATTGGTTGTAGTAATAGCTATTTCTTCCTCTATGATAATATTGGGGAGTGTTACTAAGATGACAATTAGTTAACATCTTGATATTAATCATAGTAGGATTCATATATTTTAATATTCTTCCTTGAGTATTAATTAATTCCTATTCATATTTCATGTTAATATCTTAAACATTACTTAAAGTATCAACTAGTATTGTTTCTCATATTAATTATTACTAGAATCAATCGGTTAATACGCTTGTTATTAATCCGGTTCTTTCAACGGTAGTAAACTTGGAATAGTAACGCATGCATCTCATGGTTAATATGCCAAGGGGAATTAATTATATTGATTAAACCAATAAACCGCTTGTGTTGAGGTTATCAATCTCAATCGTTTTCATCTTAAGTTTATAGGTACTATCAAGTTAATATACGGCGCTTGTTCTATATTGACTTGATAGTAAGTTTTATTAATGAACGCATCTCGTTATTAATAACTACCCTCGATGAACTGGATATACTCCTCGATTGAGTATTCGAGAGGAAGATAGTTAAAGATATAATCGGGATCGACGAACATTTCATTAAGTGGATAAAAGCAAAACCAAGTCCCCATCTCATTGAATTAAACTCATATAGGTCGTTTATCTTAGTGTTATTAAAGCAAACAAATCTAAACCCCCTTTTGTTACTATTTATATAAAAGAAAAGTATTCCTTTCCCTGTGGATACGAACCTTACTACACTATACTACGTATTAGTGTCGTATTGATTAATTATTTTGAATGCACCTAACGACGAGTGCACGTCAAGAGGAGAGAACATCACAACTCAAAAAAATTATACACTCCATCTATCACTTGTTTAAAAAGGAATTACACATCCATTTACTTAGAGCAACAATGGTATCATCTTCATCCAATCTCTCACAAATACTCTCCAAACAAGTTCCTATGAATTTATAATTATGATTTGGTGTGTGATGTTATTTGGTCTTGGTTATAAGCATATGAATTTATTGATTTCCATCAGTAAATAGAACATTTTGAATGTGTAAAGTAATATCCAATACTCGTTAGAAACTTACACTGAGTTTTTTAACAGAAAGTGAATATATGTACAACGACTTGAACAAAAGAACCTAAGCCGGTGACATTGTAGCGTAAGTGCCTAAGCGTAATTGAAAAATATCTTGAAGTGAAACACAATGGGGTTGGTTGAGGCAGAGTTTCAATGGAGTCCACTTGACTTCTCAACAGTAGACAACAAAAAGACCTTTTTCTTCCTCCATCATGTGTTGCAGCAGCAGCATAATAGAAATTATTGGTGGCAGTGACCCAGATTCTCCCCTTCATGACATACATTGTGGGCCCTCTAACCAACCCCACCCCACCCCACCCCACCAAGAAACAGCTTTTGATGTGGGCTCTTTTCCATTCCCCCTGGCCTGGACTTGGAAAGGGTTTGTTTGATAAGCCCTTGTATGAACCTACCCCATTTTAGAAAGGCAATTTGCCACAAAATCTTGGATTCCCTCCTCTGAATATTTGAATTCTGTTTATTTTATTTTATTTTATTTTATTTTATTTTGAGTTTGCACGTGGCCCATAGTCAGTGTTATATGTCACCTCCACATATCTTATCCCTGCTGATATCTCATCAGATTTGAGTAACCCAAATCCTGCTGCTGCTGCCATTACATTCAGTGCATCAATGTTAGCAAACTCCCCACCGTCATAAACAGTGTTCGGATCCAAATAAGTATTTCAAAGCGTACACAAAAGATTTCCACTCAACAAAATATCTTACTCCCTGTAACGCTTTTCTTGTTTCTTAAGCTACCAGTACAATTACGTTGTTAAAAAATTATGAACAGAAAAGTAATACTATCATCTTGAACGTTTTCATAACAGTTTGACTTTCACATTCGACAACGAACAACTTCAATGTAATTGTATTTAATTACGTGTTAGTAAACATTAATAAAATTAAAGATTAATATTTTGGAAGTTCACATTATTAGAAATTTAATACTAGTAACATTTTATACACAACAAATTCATTATATATATATATATTAGAGTCAAAGTAAAGTGTGTAAATAGTGCAAGAAATCAATGCTGCAATTATTAAAAAACGGATGGAGGAAGTATGAGCAGCTAAATCATTGATAAAAAATGGAGACAACAAAATAAGAACGATGAGAGAGTTTAATGAGATAAAGTGTGTGTGTGTGAATCTATTGGTGAAAAATGTATAATTAAAAAGATAGGTTTTGTGGTTCCTTTTTAAGGGTTAATATATGGATTGCATTCATGGAGGGATGGCCATGGTGTTTGAAACTTGTGTACTGCCCTATCTAGTAGCTAGATACAATGTACAGACCGCATTAATGCAAACATAAGAGTATTTGAAACTTGTAATTTTAAGTTTAAGGGTACGTGGTTAATCAAGGACATCGATCATCATGGTTTGACTAAACTACCAAATAATTAAAATGAAGATAATGATTAATGAGCTTAAACAGTAGAGTTCACGTAGAGCGTGAATGTGATTAATTAGTGTGAAAGATCCAGTCCGAGAATCATTGTGGATCTAAAATTAAAAGCAAATCGTACGTTTTGTCACTTTCGAACCCAAAAATAGTGCACAGGCAAAATGCTTTTCAGTCTTGACCACTTTGGTTTTGTATTCTAAGGGCACCGAATTTGGTTTTGTCTAAAACTGATTATTGACAACATAAAAGTCCAACTTGCAAAGCTGCCCAGTTATTTATATTAAATAATTTCACCTCATACCCTAATATAATTCTCACCATTTTTGTGTTTCACATTGACCTATATATTCTCCTCCACTTTTAATAACGTCCGACGAAACATTTAAGGGTATATTTGGCACAATTAGCTGAAAAGATACTTTTGTACGTGAGTTTTGTAATAACTGTTAACTTTTAGTGACTGAAAAGATTTTAAAAAGAAAAGGTGGTAGCGGTTTGGTAAAAAGCTGACTGTTTGATATAGTTCGGTTTGGTATACAAGCTGTTAGGATTAATTAATACTAAATGTCACGGACTTTTCTCAGATGCTATTCCCTGTAGCATCTCAAAAAAGATCTTTTAATTTTTGAAAAGCTTTTAAAAATTGTCATGCCAAACATTCAACTAAAAAGTTTTAAAGATTTTTTATAAGAAATATAATGAGAATTAAGAGGTGGTACGGTTTTGGCACACATAATAAATGATTGGTCCTATTTACGTTAAATAATACTACGTGCTACCATACATATGCTCTATATGTAAATATAATACTCCGTATTACATAATAATAATAAATGGTTACAGAAATTACGTAGTGATATATGCACAACTCACGTTTTGAAGATGACTTGTTTTTGGTTGCTTTTTTATAATTCCAGGGAAACTTTGTACGTAAATTGTACAGTAGCATGTATAGGATCGGAGTATTGTTTTATTCTTAAGAAATTTTGAATGTTAAATACAAAGAAATTAAATTACTGTTGTGTGCATATATATTGGCAGCTGTATTTATTTTGTATGTATCTGCCTCATTAAAGGAAGCAGGAAAATCAAGTGGGGATCGGACTGTTCAACTTAACATAGACTCCTCCCACTCACACTGCGAGCTAGCCGCATTTTTTCTTTACTAAATTGTCCCACGTACTTTTTGTTTCATTCATTCTACTCTAAGCTAGTACAACAAAAAAAAAACCGAGTGCCATTTCTATAACACTTTTGCTACTACTATACCCTACCTCATTTTTGTTAACTTTTCTAGCTAATAACTGCTCTCTTGGTCAACACAAATCACTATTAATCTCTTACTTTACACAAATCACTACGTAATTTTTATCACTTTTAATGTAGTTTCAGAATATGTAATTTTTTTTTCCTAAAAATAATTTGAGTGCGGACAGGGATCTGTTTGCTTTATCGTCGGTCAAGCATCGTAAATCGCTATGAGACAATAACAGAGGGACGGAGGGAGTATAAATTTTGAATAATCATTTTAACACTTATAAATTTTGAATAATCATTTTAACACTTATATTTTTGTTAAATTTATAAATTTTATACTTCTATATTATAAATACTTTTATATAAATACATTATTATTCGTCAAAATCCACCATCTTTAACTAAAAGGCGAAATTGACATCAATAATCTCCACTTTTACACATTTTACAAAAATAATCCTACTTGAAAAATTCACACCAATAATCCCTACTATTTAACTATTTCACAAAAATAAACCGAGTACATACGGTGTTAAGTTTTCCGTTATTTTTGTATTTTAAATATATTGAATCGAAAATATACATAAATATTGACACTACTATATTTGAGTTTAATCTTGTTTCTACTAAAAAATAATTTAATATTCAATATTTCCATAAAACATAATATAAATGTTTGTCATAAAACGTAATACTCTTCAAATTCTCTATTCTCTTTCATTCCCTATCCATATTTTATTAAGATTCATTTTTCTTATTCATTATAATAGAGATTCCGAAGTAGTTTTAGTAATAATACATTAAATATTAATACAATTATGTAGAATATTGAATTAAACTCAAATGTATTAGTTTATCGTAGGAAAAGATTAAACTCTAATATAATATTATTAATTTTTATACATTTTTTTGGTTTGATATATCCAAAACTTAAAAAAAAGGAAAAGTTAACACTTTCAAAATCGGATTATTTTTGTGAAATAAATAACTAGTAGGGATTATTTTTGTGAAATTTATGAGTAGGAATTATTTTTGTAAAATGTGTAAAAGTACGGATTATTAGTGTCAATTTAACTAAAATCAAAGTAAAAAATAACAGACTAAAAAGAAAAGCAGAATGTACATTATCCAGCCATCAAAGTACCGAAAAGGTTTGACATTATTAACTTTTCCTGCTCAATGATGACAACTTTGAATAATAATTCTAATTCTTATATTGGTATATAACTTACTACCTCCACCCTAGAATTTTCCCAGTTTGACTATTTTGGATCAAACTTTATAAACTTTGACCATTAATTAATTATTCAAAACTCACATTATGTTATGATTAAAAATTTATTTCATATACCTCAATGTAAAACATATTATTTGAATGTTAATTTATTATGAATTTTATAAATATAGATATGTAGGTATTTAGAGTCAAAGTTCAACTTAGAAGACCGTGAAAAGTCAAAATGGGAAGATCTTTGTGTTACGGAGGTAGTACAAAATTTATACTATTTTGAAAATATTTCTAATAACGAACATTTTAATACTAATTAAAAATAATTTCATGTTAAAAAAAGACTACATATCATTGATCAAAGTTAACTAAATTGAGACAGATGGTATAAAACGCTAGCTTTGACCTCATTTAAAAAGAATTGTTAATGGTTGATCATATAAGAATTGTTAATTGGGGATTGGGACAAGCATGGTAGGCCGCATTTATTCAAATATATACGCAGTATAATCTGGCAGGAGTAAAACTAAATTAAACAAAGAATTTTTTTTATTTGTACAGATAGAATGTGGGGCTCAAGAATATACATACCATGTGAGTGTAGTGGTTGTTGTAGGAAGCAATAGGGTTGGAATAATATTGGTATAAGTAGTGATGGCCGGTCTGAGCCGGGGTCAATGTGGTCGAACCATCTGGCGTGACCGACTCAGCAGCTTGACCGCACTCCATGTTGACCCCAAACAACCTTAGTGTCTTTGAGTTCCCACTTGTCGGTGTTTGGCATTCTGCAGTAGATGATGACCCTGCATATTTCGTAGCAATACAAATAAAAAAATATAGCAACTCAATTATCTTTTAATACAAAAGACAGAAATTAAATCGCAATTATCTTTGTCAAAATAGCTAGCTACCTTAATTAATATGTAAAGCATGTAATGTTAATGTGTAAATGACTCATATTATTGAAATGTTTGAGTGAAAGTCTGAAGTACTTCTGGATGTTTTAAATTGCTCACATAAACGATTTTTTAGAAGTCTGAAGCTTTTGAAAAAACTTATTCTCCTTTTAAAAAGGTAGCCCAATCAATTCTAAACACTCCATAATAGGGAGTGTGCCATACTCCATGTTATCAAGTATATGTAGTATATGAATTCATATTTTATGGGTGTACTAAATTGTTAAGATGATATCCATATTTTAAGGAAATAATTACATATTTAAGAATAAAATAAAGATTATTTACAAAAATGATGTAATTAGTGACTACATTATAAATGAAATTGTGAAATTGTAGTAATATAAGTTCAGTTCTTAAACTTAAGTTACTATACTAGTAATATTTTTGTAAGAAAAACTATTTTGAAATGGGCTAAATGCACATTTTAGGAGTACTCCGTAAGTTATACTCCGTAAATACCTGCAGCGACATGATGAAAGCAGTCCGATTGGTATGGAAGATCTGCCGGCAGCTGATAAGGATAGTACCCTTGGCCCCACCCTCCTCCGACAACCGCACCCATCCCTTCTTCCCTAACACCTGCAGCAGCTGCCGTACCACCTGCACTTCCGCTTCTCCTCCTCCACCCGATAAAGAACCGGTCGCCGTCAAGACGGTGGCGCAAGAACAGCACCACGTCTCCGGCGTCCAGCCGCTTCTCCTTCACGAACCTGCTCCACCCTTTCGTCAACACGTAGCTTTGACTACTGTTCCAATATGAGTACCTAATTATAATAAACGAAACATTATAATTAGGACAATTGCTGAAGTACGTACGTACTTGGTATAATTGAACAAATAAAATACTACTCGATGAGCATGTATATATATAGTCACTAGCTACCTGAATCGCCAGAGCTTGCCGGAGTCGTCCTCGAAGGTGAGCAACAGGCCTTTATCGGCGGCGGCAGTGGAGGAATCTTTGCCGGTCAAGGGGAAGTACTTTTCGGCGTTCTGTTTGGGGATGACCAAGCGGTTGAGCTTTCCGACGTCGCTGGGAGTCAAAGGCTTCTCGAACAAGTGGTCCTTGGGGACGGCACGGCTACCGGAAAGCTGCTCTTCGTCGTCTCCGCCGTTTAGGTCGAAGTTGAAGGCCCGCTTGGAGGAGGAGGAGCATTCCATTGTGTCCTGCTCCAGCTCCTCCTCATGGTGTAGTATTTGATGATGTTTACTGCTCCACCAGAATGCCGAAGACGACAAGTGCTTTGAAGAGGACGACATTATGTTATATTCCCCACACGGAGCAGAGGCCGGAATTTTAGCTAGCTAGGTAGGCTACAGATCAGAAGACTGACTACTTTAATTATGGACTGGAAATTGAGAGATTGGAGCAAGCGTTATATAGATCGGAACCGGAACTAGCAGTAGCTTTATGTATGGAAATTGAGTCTTCTCGCACCAGTGACTCAGTTGGTCGAGTGGTGAGCAAATTGGACCAAGTGACCAAAGTTGAAACCGACCGTAGTTTCAAAACCTCAAATAAAGTTTGGACCAAATGTATGTACCTGCTGTAGAATGATGTCGTACCTAGCTTAGCTGTCGAAGCTGCTACGTACGCATTCAATTAGGACCCCTTTGAGTTTCTATTTCCTCTTTTTGGGTGAAAAATGCCTCATTAATTCAAGAGTTGGACTTGGGCTACACACTTTTTTGTGTACACACTTTTTACACATGTATTTTAAAAATACGTCATGTCTGTACAGACATAAAAAAAACCTTACACATACCTGTGTAAAAAATGTGTACACAAAAAAGTGTGTACCTTTAGAATTTTTCTTAATTCAATCCTTTCCCAGATACGCAGTACTACTACTTCCTTTTTCCAAAATAAAATACGTAGTACTACTATTTCTATCTTTTAAAATTTTGGCAAGTTTGACCGACAGAAATATAATAAAGTAAAAATTGTGTGATTGAGGTTAGTGCAGATGGGAGAGAAATAACAGAAACCACAAAATATTTAATTAAAAGGAAACGTTGCAAGGTTTTTGAGGACATCCCAAAAAGATTAGGTGATAAAGTTTTAAGTGACAAAGGAAGTATTATATTTTAATTTGACATTTAATAATGGATATATCAGTTTTTAGAATGCATTTGATAAAACTAAAATTGATTGAAGAATGTAAATTGAAGTAATCACACAAGTGTTACGGCTATGTTTGGCAGACATAAGTCTCTACCTTCTAGATTTTGTAATGTTCAAAAAGTCTCTAAAAGCTTCTAGTTATATGTTTGACATGACAATTATTAAGATCTTTTCAAAAATTAAAAGATCTTTTTTGAGATGCTACAGGGAGTAGCATCTGAAAAAAGCCTGTGACTTTTAGTATTAATCAGTCCTAACAGCTTGTATATCAAACCGAACTAAATCAAACAGTCACTTAAAGAGTTTCTTAGACGTTGCAAGCTCTATGCTTCTGTTTTTCCTGGCCTTCTGCACTCCAAAGACCATCGACCACATTTCCGTCTCCACGAGCAACCATCTCCTTAGGTCGTCGCCATGGCAGCGAGCTTCTCAAGTGGTGACGAGCTTTGCCGACAAACTGCGCATACCTCCTCTGCTGCAACAATGAAGTCGATCATTCTCTCATTGCACCACTTCATCTTACTTCTTCACATCTGCTCCATCGTACGTGGCCGGCATCATCGTCCATGACTGCTATGGTTTCGAATTGCAAAATTGAACCCCCAAATCACCATGAAACCCTAGATCTGAAGATGGGGGCAGGGTGCAATGTTGGAGCGAAAGTGAATTGCAAAGAGGGATTGAGGCTGAGGTGGCGCTGACGGTTGTCGGCAAGGCAGGGGAGAGGCTAGTAGGCTTTGGGTAGCTAGCCTTGGGGCGGGGCTGAAAGGTAGAGGCGGGGTTGGTGGGGCAGGGATAAAACAGAGGTGGGGTAGGCAGTGACGGGAGGGTGGTGGCCAAAGCATAAACAGATCACTGTGCACCAGAAAAGGTCGTCGGAAAATTTTGTCACGATCATAGTGGCATGTTTCACAGCTTCGGGTGTCACTGTGGCAGTGTCACTGTTGCCGGCGGCGGTGACTGGCAGAAGTGACGGCGGCGATGGCACATGCCATGGTGGCAGTGGTGACACGAGCGATGGCGGAGATGGTGACATGACGGCAGTGACATCCGAAAGTGACATGAAAATTTCGTAGTGACATTAATTTTTAGCTATCATTTTATTTTAGTCCCATTTTTGTCCAAATGTAAATATGATCACATTTTTGGAAAATAGCTTTAATTTAGTAATATTAAAGGAAACCCACATGTAAATTTGGTGAAAATTTAGATGGAGCCGTGGAACTGATTGACCAATTTAATTATAAAAACTATATTTAAAATACATTTATTAATAAAATGTTAAAAAACTTGTATGAATGTTTGATTAATTTTTCGTAAGCTAAAATTATCAAAAGAAATATATGTATCGAGCGAGTTGCGTACGAGAACAACAAGAAAAGAAGTATGCACATAGGCTAGAAATCAAGAGTAGCATTGTGTATTATTCAAGTAGCTTAGGAATGAATTATGTTTACAAAAAGGTTCACTCATATTTATAGGAGAAGTAATTAATGCCCCTAGACATTTTGTCTGTCACTGACGGTTTTGTCCGTTGTGACGTCCTAACAGCCAATATTATGTCTTATAAATGTACCATTAACTTTCATGATAAATTTTGATAAATGCAAAATTGAATTGTCAAATATTTGCTTCGACAATTGCCCCTTTCGAGAGGTTGAGGCATATGGGTGCACATGTTGAGCCGTTAAGCAATAACTTTTCTAATTTTCGAAAGAACTTGTACTTCACATCTTTGATTATTGTGTCTTCTGACAAAATACGGTCGTCAATCTGTCATCCGTCTGATAAAACATATCTATCAATTCGTCATCCGTTTGATGGAACACTTTTGTCACCTTTCTCGTAAGTTGCTTTTGATGAAATTCGTCTCTTTGAATTCGCTGGAACAATATTATTGTGTTAATGACCAGAAATGATAAATTGTAATTTCATCCATGTTGATGTTGATGTTTCGGTTTGCAATGGTGACTTCATCCCTTAGCTTGTTGAAGTCCCGCTCCAAGTGTATCTGATGTTCTGCAAGAACTTTGAACATTATTGCGCTTACATTTTAATTATATTGTCAACTTAAACATGAATGTTAAATCGCAGCTGTACCCGATCGGGTACCCCGTCATACCCGATCCGGTATGTGTAATTTTTGTGGTTTCAGGCTGCGTGCTCGATCGGGTAATGATCGGGTAATTTAGGCAGGCTTTTTGGATTTTCCAGACATACCCGACCGGGTAAAGTAATGTGCCTGATCGGGTATGTGTCGTTTTTGTTGTTCGATCAGGTAAGCCTCTGTGTGACACCGTACCCGGACGTACTTGAATTTAAAATTTCAGTATGTATTTGAATTTTCTAGCGAATAATTTCGTGCGACAGAATAATATATTTAATTAATGAACGATTAGTTAAATTATTTACTGGGCCCATTATGTGGAGAATGGGCTACCAAATAATTAGTTGGGTCATCATAATAATTATAGAGGCCCAATAAAATGTCAACCGAGGTTGAGGAATATATTTGGACAACCCAAGTGCTATTTTGACCCAACCTGCCAGAAATAGCGGGAATAATTGGGAGAAACTTCCTACACCCACTTGGGGACTTTTCCTACACATGTTGTGCATCCAAAATAGTGGGAAGAGACAACTAAACATGTTAGGTTCGTCCATATAGGTAGAGGGGTGGGGGAAGATGCATGTAACCTTCCTAAGAGACCCTACCCTCCCTTATTGCAAACAAATTGGTGAGAGGATATTTCTCTCTACCATTTTGCAGGATACCTAAGAAGCAAAGGAAGGATAAGGTCTAGGAGAAGCTCTCAAGGTCCTGGAGCTTGAGGAATCAAGAAGAAAAGGGAATCCAAGAAGAAAAAGGCTAGAGTTTGAGGTAACAACTCAACTAGTATTTCTTCAACTAGTTTTGTGTGTGATTTTGTAGAAATCATATGGTGGATTAAAACTTGTAGTCCTACACGTTTAAAAGTGTAGAATATTGTTATAAAGTGGTGGTATTTAACTTAGAAGAGTTGGCAAATCGATAGGAGTTGAAATCGCCGGAAACCGCCACTCCAAAGGAGCTGTTCATAGTTGCAGACTACGAAAGCCGCCTGGCTTTTGTCCAGACAGCCCAGTTTTATCTTCTTATCGATTTAGAACGAGGATTGATCGAAGGGCTTAACAAAGGCAACTATTTCACCACTTCATAAGGTGAGGTTGACTGACTACATTGCTTATAATTAATGAGTTAATTTCATGAGATTACCTAATGTAATTAAATGTGTTTTTATGGATTATTAATGATTAATAATGCCTAAAAATGAGGAGATTATTGTCTATGAGAAAAGGAGCATGATATACAAATTTAAGAATAAATTATGTATGATCATGTGTTATGAGTATGTTGACTTGATAATGGAATTAACTATGAAATGCATGTTGAAATATACTTTTTACTTCATATAAGAATATATGAATTATTAAAAGTTTTTTTTGGATATTGATATAATGATGATATTTTCAATGGAAAATCAGTGGGGCATTCTATAAATGACCATGAATAGAGAACTTGGTTTTGTTGGAATTAATTGGACTAGTATTGATATACTAGTTGGACATTAAAATGAAATCTTGCTAAAATTGATCCTAAGGTTGGATTGTGAAGTTTTATGTCTTAAGTAGTCTTAAGAGATGCTTTAAGGTAGTAAAGTATGAACTTTAAGTTATACTAGGGGTAGGCCTTAAGGGATACCCAAGATAAATTGAATAATAAATTGATCCTAGGTATAGGATTGGCCTACGGGCGTGTTCGGTAGTCCTTGAGGATAGCCGGTTGAGTTATGGGAATAAGTAAGGACCATGGCCCTTCCCGACTCTAGAGAGCGGGGTTGGATAGCATGGACTTGCATCGTGATCACGGGTTAGGGTGGAATCCGAATCGGAGACCTAACTAGGCTCCGGTAGCGGTAACACATAAGATAGGACCCCGAAGGGCCTTACCTTCCTACGGGATAATGGGTATGAGTCCAGGGGTGGGATGTTGAAATCCGAACCGAGAGCCTCTTGAGGTCTCCGACAGCGGTAGCAAATCCCGTAGAAGTAATAAGACCCACGGGTTGGGTTGTAGAAATGATAGATGCAAAAGAATATATGAGAAGGGCCATGTGCCGACAATTAAATGAATTTACTTGTTATAGAGATAATAAGTGGGAAATATAAACTATTATTTATATTATGTTATCACCCTATTTTGAGGGTCTTAGAAATTAAAGCGTTGATTATACTCGGTATAGTTGTCATTGTACTTGTCAAATGCTTCCAAGTACTGACCTCCCCTTCACGGGGGAGGCCACCTCACAGTTTCAGGTAGAACGTGAAGGTTGCTACCATCGCCCGTTGCACCGGGAGGATCAAGAGAAGAAGACGTTGTTCGTGCTTCTTCTGTTTTCTGATTTCAAAACAATTATAATAATGCTCATGTATATTATTTTTCTGAATAATTATTTTGGGGGCTTGTATGCCTAAGTATGCCGAGTGTGGCCTGAACACTTGTATTAAATGTTTCCGCTGCTTTAAATGAATGTTTTACATTGTGTTTGTTTATGGATGTACTATGTGTGAACGGTATTCAAGATGCCTTGTATAGTATGGATGAGTTGGACTGCGGTTGACTATTCGTACTGTACGGCGGGTTGTTGACGTGTCCGGGCAGGTCCGGGACATGACAATTTAATTGGTATTAGAGACTTAGTCCGTAAACATCATAATGAAGCTTCAAAATTCTTTTTGAAAAATGAATTTGAAAACCATGAGCATAAGAAGTTTTGTACTTATAGAACTTTTGGTACTTGAGTTGCAATGTCTCTAATTGTTAAGATGGTACCCTTAACAATTGGTATGGCGGTGATTTGAGCCAAAAGATGTCTTTAAGTGCCTATCCGTCAATTGACATTTGATACGAGTCTAATGACTCATTCTCAATTTCTTTCAGTTATGGAACGTACCGGGAAAGTTACTTGACGGAAACCGACTGGCCAAGCACCGGGAGGATCCCAACGTGGCAGTCGGGGAGCATCGAGGGTGACTCGGGGATAGGGCCATGCAGGCCACTCACTGACGGTGAGTGACGGTCATGTGGAGATAACTGATAAGCATTACGAGTCCGAGGAGGATTCAACTTACCGACCGGGGACTTAGCCGGTTGAAACCCCATATGATGGGGAGTACGACGATGCTAGTGATGAGAGCGATGATAATGACGCTCTCGAACGGATTGAGGAATTGCTCTGACAATACCATCAAGATCGCCAAAGGCGCCGGGCAAGGCGTGCTTTGGGAGGGGCTTCAAGAAGAGGAAGCCATGTGACTCCTAGGGAGAGCGTAGAACCCTGAGGAGGTAGAGGTGCCGAGGTTCCTATTATAAGGATCTCGAAGTACCTCAAGGAGGAAAGGGATTTGGGATGTAAACCGTTTGATGGAACGGGAGACATCTCCATCGCAGCCGAATGGATCAAAAGATTCAATGAAGCGGCCCTTGACATGCAGCTACCACCCAACATGAAGATGAGAGTGGCATCAAGATTGCTAGAAGGCATGGCGTCCACATGGTGGGACGGAGTTAAAGGGAAGTACGGCGAGGCCGTCACGTGGGAGAATCTCCGACAGGAGTTCTTTAGCCAATACTACTCCAACTTCGAGGTGAACTTGAAGAGGAGGGAGTACACAAATTTGACCCATGGAGGTGAATGCACGGTGAAGGAACTTGATCACAAGTTTAGAAAACTTGCTGAGTTCATACCGGAGTACATTTGTGATGAGAACTGGATGGTGAACCACTTCTAGGATGCCTTGGACCTTGATATACGTGAGAGTGCAACGCAATTGCCTAATATGACGTTTAGTCAAGTGGTTGAGCAAGGTTTAAAGGGAGAAAAGGAGTGGGAGGAAAGAAAGCGAAGGAATGCCGAGGAGGCAAAGAAAAGAAAATGGGAGAGCCATGGCCCCCAAGGTTCTAATAAGAAAGGGAATCACGGGGAGGCGGATCTTTCAGAACCCCTGCACCACCATCAAGGGGAAACCAATACTCGAGCGGGCAAAGCTCTATGTCACAAGGCTCGGGCATGAAAAGGTGTAGCAACTGTAAGAAGAATCACATAGGCAAGTGCCGTGATCCCCCGAGATGTTATCAATGCG